CATCCGGGGTATCTATTATCCATACGCATCGCGTGTCATAGCGCTTAAAAAAATTTATATAAAAATGTTAATTCTAAGTAAATAAATATAAAAATATATTGCCAAATATGTAAAATTTATTAGGCTCATCTATATTTTATGTATCACCCGGAAATTGTCACTTTAAACTGTCATATAATTTACAAAAAAAATAAGTAGTCAATCATCTTCATAATGTCATTAATAACCCTAGACAAACTAGTGGCTTCTAATGTTTTTAATAAATATAAGTTGAATTTTTTTATTTATTCAAAAATAATCCCTGCTTAAAAATGGCTAATACCTACCCCACCAAAACCTTTCTTAAAATTATTTTCTTTTATACTATTTGTATAATATAAAAAAAAACATTTGAATGACACCCTTATGGGTTAAATATTATAATATTTTATTTTCTTATTCCGATTATTTTGAATATATTTTGCATTAAAATATTCGATTAAAATGAGACATAATTTAACAAGAAACCAATAAGTTTAATAAATATAGATTCCTCCCTAATTCTTTTATATTTATTCCCCTAATTTTTAGCGTCCTTGGAAACCCCGGTCCCCAATCCCTAAAGTTCTTAAATCAATTGGGTAGAAGAATTTCGTTAAGGACAGGGGTCAAAAACGAGTCCCTATCTCTTAAACAAAAAGTCCAATTTGAAATCCTAAAGGGGAACTACAAATGTTTCTTCGAAACACTCCCATTTCCCTCCTAGTTTATCAAATATAGTTATTTATTATATATTAAAAACTGTTTTGTTAATTTCATTTATATTTTACATCGCAACTATATTTAGAATTTAACCACAAAAAAAATATTTTTCGTTATAATTAAACAATTATGTTTTAAATATTTAATATATATATATATATATTTTTTTTCTCGATTATGTATATCATATTATGTTCAAAAAAATTATACGATTATAATAATGATAAAATTAATTTATATATCGAGTATATATATTTTAGAAGACCTGAGAAATCTGAACTCGATTTAAACAGAATTTTATAAATAATTCATAAACCTTGATAGTATTGTATAAATGGCTCGATTTTTAAAGACTAAAACTAATCCAATATATTAGCTAAAAATTATTTACGCATCCCTGATGATTTTGCTCATAGTCACAGATACAAAAGTTTTGAAGTTGAGCACCTGAGAAGAGAAGAGAAGAGAAGAGAAGAGAAGAGAAGAGAAGAGAAGAGAAGAGAAGAGAAGAGAAGAGAAGAGAAGAGAAGAGAAGAGAAGAGAAGAGAAGAGAAGAGAAGAGAAGAGAAGAGAAGAGAAGAGAAGAGAAGAGAAGAGAAGAGAAGAGAAGAGAAGAGAAGAGAAGAGAAGAGAAGAGAAGAGAAGAGAAGAGAAGAGAAGAGAAGAGAAGAGAAGAGAGAGAAGAGAAGAGAAGAGAAAGGAAAGGAAAGGAAAGGAAAGGAAAGGAAAGGAAAGGAAAGGAAAGGAAAAGAAAGGAAAGGAAAGGAAAGGAAAGGAAAGGAAAGGAAAGGAAAGGAAAGGAAAGGAAAGGAAAGGAAAGGAAAGGAAAGGAAAGGAAAGGAAAGGAAAGGAAAGGAAAGGAAAGGAAAGGAAAGGAAAGGAAAGGAAAGGAAAGGAAAGGAAAGGAAAGGAAAGGAAAGGAAAGGAAAGGAAAGGAAAGGAAAGGAAAGGAAAGGAAAGGAACAGGAAAGGAAATTAACAAAATTTCGGGGCTTGCGGTAATATTATTTTGGCTAAAATCTTAATTTAGGATCGGCTAAGTCTTGTGATTTTGCTCATAGTTCATAGATAGAAAGATTTGGAGTTGGACATCTATTAAAAAAATTTTGAGGCCTGCGATAATAGTATTTTGGCGAAATCGAGACGTTTAACAGCACTATAACTGCAGTATTATTTGCCGTTAACTCCATGTATTTGCACTTGCTGGAATTTTTTTTTTATAATAAAGAGCTTTAACTTATTATATATTTTTTTTTTCTATATTTTATAATAGAAACTTATCTAATTTTTTTTTTTTAATCGACTTGAACTTTTACTATTTATTTATTTTACTATGCTGTAATTTAGAAGTATATATAAAATATGGTTGTAATTTTGAAGTATATACAAAAATATGCTTGTATTTTGGTATTCTTCGCCGCGAATTCGCGCTAATTGTGAATTTAGGGTAATATTTTATGAATACCGTTTGTTAATAATAAAATAATTTCCCATATTGATTAATTTTCTGTCCAAAAAAAAAAAATTCATAGCCTTTTTATTGAACGAGATGTGCCTTCATTATAGAGGTCGCCTCGGCCCAAACCGACCCGGTAAAATTTTTATAGCGTATTTTGGCCCGGCCTGAAATTATTTTTACTCGATCCGATTCCTATAAAAAATATTTTTGTATAACTTATCCGACCCGACCCGAAAATATTTTTCCTCCGAATAAATAATTAAAGTTTTTTTTTTAAAATGGGACAAAAACTTAGATTCCAGGTTAGGCTAGAGATATTGTTTAAATTTTATTATATAATATCCTAATAATATAACTTTTTTTTAAAAATCTGACTTAAAATTTAATTTAGTTTTATAAATATTTCTAAACCTCTCTTCACACACCCCATAGTCAATGACAATATTACCCGCTACCCTCCTTTTACTCCCTATCCACTTCTACCCACACCCCTCAAAAAAACCCTTATCTCCTAACCTTAAATCACAATGACGATTTTGTGTCATACCTCTCCCCCCCTTGGCAAAGGCGCCTGGTAAATTTTCATTTTTAACCAAAATGCGAAAAAGGAAACGCGGAAATAGTGATGGAATTATTTTTTTTACACGCCTAAATACGAATACATATATATTTGTAACAAAATCGTAGAGTTTTGACTGGTTTAAAAAAAATAAAATATAAGCGATCAACATACGTGAATTAAATTAGATATTATATTTATTTATCCCCCCCACTCCACTTCTCTGTTCCCTTTTGGGATATGGAAATCCTTTTTGGGATTTCTAAATCTTCACTCGAAATATTAAAATTTTTGAAAAAGCCGATTTAACCCATAAATGCACTCCAACATGTGTTAAGAGTATGCCTACCCTATAAATTTTAGATAATTTTATTTATAGAAGAAAATAAAATTCATATAAAAATTCATCTTAATGAACGAGTAGTTTATAAAGTTCGCGACAAAATTGTTTGAAATTCATTTTTAAAATACATTTACGGTCCATACTTTCAAAATTTAAAAAAATTCTCTTAATAAGTGATATGATATAAAATAGAGAGATTCTGAATGCATAATATACTGTATGCTTCTTTTGCAATAAATTTAATGAATGAAAAGGCAAATTAATAAATTATAAAATAAAATGAGTGGATCCTATATAGCGCGGAATCATCTACGATGCAATCTTTTCCGTCGTGGTTGCTAGGTTAATGATAGGTATTACCTTGAGGTAGTACCTATCAAATTTGAAATTTTGTTTATTTTCCATTTGGATAGGTTACTACCAAATTTATTTATAATATATTATATATAAAAAATCGTGAATTTTGAAATGCGTCTACGCGTCGCTTACCAATCCGATGGTTTAGGGTTCTAATCCCAGCCAAGATCTTGTTTTTTATTTCTTAATCCAACTTGGTGGTCCCGTCCTTGGGGAGGGGGGCGATATAAAGGAGGCCTAACTTGACCACGTGATTCCGTTAAGTAATAAGGGTCTTATTTACATTTTAATAAATTTTGGTCGGTATTTTGACTTGGTAATATCTATCATTAACCTAGTTGCTAACTCACCCCCCTCCTCTTTCCCTTTTCCGGAAAAGAGCTCACATACTTAGGATCTTATTTTTCTTTCAACAATTTTTTTTTTTGATTATTTTATTTATTTTTAAAACTTTTTTAGATATCGATTTTTTTTTTTTTTTAAATTTAAAAAAATAATAAAAACGTTAATGTAATATCATCATAATAGTATTTAAGTACATTATTATTATTTCTTATTCTGTGTTATAATGCATAATTATTATATTATCTTAAATCTGTAATTCTAAAAAAATAAAACACAATAAAAAAAACTTATAGTGGTATTATCATGGTATTTAATAGAAAATCATTTATTATTTTTTTAATCTTTGACAAAACCTCAAATTCATTTTTTTTAATGTTTTTAAAAATAATAATATTTTCTATCTACTGCTTATTATTTTATAAATTCGATTGATTTTTAATAACTGATCTTACGCAAGCCTGAAGATTTTACTCTCATAGATGGAAGAAAGGTCTAGACACATATTATGGCAATCTCGAGGACTTGGGTAATATGGGGATGAAAACTTTGCCTAAACTTTCGAATGATAAAAAAATTTATACTTTATTTTTCCTATCTTATATTGACCCCGAATTAGTAAATTATTCGATTCATTTTGAAAGAAACGAATACGGATAATTCGTTATTCGATCCGGTTATTCGTTTTATTTTATAGGGGTATGCGAAGGGCGCGTTCCAATTATCCGTGTGTTACATATTATAATATATATATTATTTTTTTTTCTTTTAAAAAAGAGAAAGCAGAGCAAATCGTGATATTTTTTGAAAAAATGCATTATTAATAATGTATTTAAAAAAAAATTAATTTTGAGATCGGGAGAAGATTTTTAAAAAAAAATTTAATGAGATTATAATTTCATTTTCCCTCTTAACTCTTAAGTGATTTGAATTTTTTTTGTTAAATTTATCATTTTTTTTAAAAAAAAGATTGATATCGATATTTTTTTTAAAAGATTCTCAATATCCAATCAAAAATACAAATCCAGATCGAAATCGGACCCAAAAATGATTTAAATTGATGATAAATAAACCCTTAAATTAGATATAAAACTTTAATTTTTTTATATTTTTTATATAAAAAAAATTCCTACAAAGAAAGACTAAAAAATAAATAAATAAATAATGAATATAAATTCTTATCAAAGCGTATTATATAGGAGAATGGCCATCAATAATATGGAATTGGAGGATATCCAAAGGAAATATTACGTGCAATTCAAGCATTCTTGTTTCCTGTCCGGGCTAACGTCGCTCACTTTATACGGGTTCTTTCAAGTTCTGATCCATCTCATGATCCCCAACATCGATATTGGTCCCGATACAAAAAGGTTAGGAGAAGTGAACGAGCACAGACCAACTATCAAATCAGTAGGTTCTTATAAACAATGTAACATTGATAGATTAAATGGATGGTATAAGAAGTTTAAATATTTTTGAGATTCACAAAATGTCACATTTATTAGAAATAATGAGGCGAGAAACTTTATTTTTAAAATTTTTCTGGGTTTCTACCTGAAATATTTCAGTTTCCAGGGAACCGTTTTGAGACAAGAAAAATCTAAGGGGTAAACGAGATTCGATTACTTCTTGTTTTAGAGGGAACTTATTGTATCGGAACAGAAAAAAGAAATTATCTTCTAGTTTTAAGGATTATTTCGGGGGATATTAATCTATCTCTCTTAACATAATCTGGATTTTATTAAGAAAAGTATCTTAATTAAATTTAATATTTTTCTTTGTAAGTAAATATAATTTCAATTTTTCATAAAATTTTAAAATTAATTTTAAAAAAGCAACGACCGGTGGGTCTCCAGACATTTTTGAACTACGAAATCTCCATCAATGTAGCTTTGGTACTTTTATCGATTTTTATTCTGGGAGTATCGATACCTAGAAAATTATTCCTAAAATATTTTTGGATGTTGACCATTCTAAGTAAATTATACTATATATAATTATCCAGTACTGTTAAAATATCTAGGATAAATGTATCTGTATTTGTATCTTAATATGTTTTGTTAGATATACTCCCCCCCCCCCCACTCTCATAAAAAAAATACTTTTTAGAGTTTTCCCCACTAGGGGTCCTTGACTTTTTTTTAAAAAATATTTTGATAAACTCAAACTTAAAATTTGTTTATTTTATTTTTAAAAAATAATTTAGTTTTAAACAATCTCTAAATGAGTCTGACCTTATTTGGCTCAACCTAAAGATACATAGTATTTTTCCTTATTCATAATTGATTTTTAAAAACGGCTAATTCAATATTACACCCAGATTTTGTTGGTAGAAGGAACATAGATCTAGAAATGTACTATCGAAATCTAGAGGTTTAGGCAATATTTTTTCTGGCTAAAATATTGAGTTAGCAAAACGAGCCGTTTAACTACACTATCATAATAAATCAAAATCAATCTTAATAGAGGATTCAACAAAACAAATTGTTTTTCATTTATTTTTTTAAAATTAAAAATTTTTTATAATTATTTTAAAATAAATCAATCACGCATGATTTATATAATCATTTTGAAGAAGAAAGAAGAAAAAAGAAAAAAGAAGACAAATAAATAAAGGAAAAGATGAGAACAAATAAAATAAAAATATAACATTAATAAATAAAAAGAATGTGCTAAAAATTAAATGAATGGGAGTTAAAATCGATATTATAGCTATATATGTATTAATTGTAAAAATTTAAAAATTGTAATTATTTTTATTTTTTTTATGATATTTTTTAAAATATACTGAGTAAAGAAGGTGTTAAATATTTTTTTTATCACTTTTCATGATATAGTAAATTGGCAATTTTTTTATTTATTTTTTTACCACAATATTGGCAAAGAAATTAGATGTTTTAGGGGGTGGTTGGGTATGGTAATAATACTAATACGCTTAATAAAATAATGTATATTACTAATAAAAATCAATTTTAATTTGTTAAATTATAAAATATTTTTTTTAAATTTTCTCCTAACTGATAAAATTGTCAATTATTTTTCGTTCCCTATTTTATATGATAATCTAATCCTTCCTTCCTTTTCTTCCTTATTATTATAATCTCTTTACATTTTGCAATAATATTTTAATCTATTTTTTGAGGGAGTAAGGAATTCGGCAACGCAACAATAATCATTTTTTTTCTATGGGGAAGCATTAGATGGACCCATTTTTATACGTATGTTAAGCGTCAACGTTTTTTTTCCGGCAACGCGTTATTTTTACAATTTTAAATCAAATCTGTTATTTACCGGAAATATATTCTATCATGTTTAGAATGTCTATCTTCTGAATTGTAGACAAATTTGCTGTTAACCTTTGAGTCATTTATATTGTATAAAAAAAATATATGTTCTTTCTTTCTTTCTTTCTTTCAGGTTCATGGAAATATTGTCTGAAATTCAAAGGGTAGGGTATTCCAAAGATTGGTGGAATACAATTCCGGTAAGAATCAGATTTTTAAAATTTAAAAAAGCGCGCTAAAAAAATGATTTAAAATAGTTGAAAAAAATAACACATTGACGCTAGCATATATATATAAATATATCGCCATACCTCTACCGCCTGACTTTTTTAGTCATGGCTACGCCTTCCACCGATGTTTGAATCGACTTTTGGCATAGGCAGATGGTATTATTATAATGCAATTTATAAATTATACACGAATATTTGTATAAATATAAATGCTTAATAATAAGTGATGTTGAACAGCTCGATTAGAGCCGATTTTTGAATACGGCTAACTTCGATATTTTATCCAGAATAATTTTAAAACCAAGCCTTAAGATTTTGGTCATAGATGGCACAAAGTTTTGGACTTCCAGTAGCGAAATCCCAAGGTTAAACCGTTATATCAATTTTTACGGGAACTCCGTTTGAAATATTATATTTTCGGACTAACTTAATTTATTTTAAATTTACAGGGAGATACAAACAAAAAAAAACTTATTTTTTTTAATATTAAATGTTACATAGGGTAAATTCAAATTTAAATAAATATATTAATAAGTCACATTTAAATTTATCCTTTGTGACATGAATATAAACATCCGAGAAATATCAAAAATTATAATGGTTTATTAACACAGATAAAAAAAAGATAAATAAGAGTTCTAAAAATTTTATTAAATCTTAATTGCGGTATAAAACAAAGAGCAAAAAAAATGCGTTTTTTTTTGTCTTACAGTTAACACCTTAAATAAATATTAGCAAATTTTGTAGAAATAATAAATACTCTTTAAAATAATCCAACAAATCTTATTATTATGTGTGGTCTAGTGTTGTTATAAAAAACGGCTAACTCAATATTTTAGCCATAAAAATATTACGCAAGACTGAAGATTTTGGTCATAGATAGCACAAAGGTTTATGCATCTATTAGAGAAGTCTCGAGGCTTAGGGCGATATTTTTCTGGCTAAAAGCCGTTTTTAAAAATCGCTGAAATCGAGCCGTTAACATTAGCGTAGTCGAGTGAGGAAAACGTTCACAAATATCGCTAATTACAAAAATATATTCTTACACACCCCATCCCTTCCCCCGAAGTCACCATAAACAATTAATTCATATAAATGACTATAATTCTAAATTTTTCAGAGAAAAAAAAAAGTAAAAACCCAAAGTATCCAGGGCCAAAGTGTAAGTGCTAAAGCCTTTCAATGAAAATTTACGGGCAGAAAATCGGCACAAAAGCTCTCCCAGAAAAAACTCCTATTATATCTAAGGACCACAATTATATTATTAATTAATTTTTTTAAATTTAAAAAAAATAATAACATAATAAACGAAGCCTGGATGGGATTAACATCTTACTTGGTAGCCGATCACATATTCAGTAGCACCATTTTGCCCTCGCTCTCTCATTCCGCCAACTCATCCCGACCGTTAGCATCTTCGCCCACGATAAAAAATACTTCGCTTTTAGTAGGCACCGATATTCATCAAGCCTTCTACTTTATATTGCTGACGTACGCCTTCCTCCCGCTCAGCAGAGTGCAAGCATGTTGTTCGGGCATAATCTTAAGCATTATTTACTTGGCCGCCACCTTGTTTTACCAAAAAAAGCTCAAATCGGATAACGATTTCGCTAATAACTTATCAGGATACACTGTAAATTCTGGCACTCTTAAAGCATACAAGTCTATCGTTAAAGATAGGAGTATGACCAAGGAGGTTTTCCTTATTATATAGTGGTTATTGAGAGGCTCTATTGTATAAAACATTTTGCAATGTAAAAAAAAGAGGGAAGGTTAGGGCAGGTAATTCTACCAAATGACTGGCAGGGGGGGGGGGGAGTAAAAATTAATGTAAAGGAATTGGGCGGGAAGTATTGTGATTTTAGATTTAAAGAAATAAAGAAAGAAAGAAAGAAAGAAAGAAGGAAAGAAAGAAAGAAAGAAAGAAGGAAAGAAAGAAAGAAAGAAAGAAAGAAAGAAAGAAAGAAAGAAAGAAAGAAAGAAAGAAAGAAAGAAAGAAAGAAAGAAAGAAAGAAAGAAAGAAAGAAAGAAAGAAAGAAAGAAAGAAAGAAAGAAAGAAAGAAAGAAAGAAAGAAAGAAAGAAAGAAAGAAAGAAAGAAAGAAAGAAAGAAAGAAAGAAACAAACAAAGAAACAAATATTATAGGCGGTAGTAGGAGGTTAATATCGTTATTGGTTTGGGAAAGTTGTAGAAGTGCCTGGGATATAACCAAATTATAAATAAGTTTGCTTGGTAATATCATTATATAAAATATTAATTAAAAAAAAAATACTATTAAGATTCTAGCGGCTGTCATCATAGTTGGAGCCGCTAATCTTATAGGTCTTTTTCAGAACTACATGATATCAGTTTCCAGGAAAAAAATCTTCAACGACGCTAAGAAGTTTCTGGAGTACAGGATCAAATTAGAAATCGAGAAAGAACAACAAGTAATTTCCATTTTTTTGAAGGGCGGAGGATTAATTTGCTATCATGTAAAATATTTGATCAGAATATGATTTTCCTACGTTACCCCAATTTTTTTTTAAAATATAATATATAAGCATTGTAAACCTATTAAACTTGAATTTGTCTATACCAATTGACATTGACATAGCTAGTGTTGTTAAACGTTTTGAGCGGATTTTTAAAAACGGCTAACTCAATATTTCATCCAGAAAAAATATTACGCAAGCTTGAAGATTTTGCTCATAGAAGGAACAAATGTCTAGACATATATTATCGAAATCTCCAGGCTTAGGCAATATTTTTCTGGTTAAAATATTGAGAACGAGCCATTTAACAACACTAGACATAGCAAGGAAGGGAACAAAAAGTTTCTCAAGAGATCTCTAAATTTGATTAGAAGCAAATTTAAATAATTGAGCATTCCAAAGTCCAGGGAATATAATTTTTTAGTAATTTTACTTCTTTATGACTGTTAGAATTTTGGAGCTTAAATTTAAGTCAAAGTATATACATATATCTTTTTTATAAAAACGGATAGATGCTTCACAAAGTCAAGTTCTTCGAATAAATTTTTTCTAATTAGAACTTTTCCTCGCTTCTCTTTTAAATTCAACGTTTTAATTTAACATATAAAGTTTGTTTTTTTTTTAATTTACTTTTTTGGGCTGTGGCCTAAATATAAAAAATTAAACTCCGAAACTTCCGTAACTTTAACAAAAAAAAAGAAATAAACTATTTTTAACATGAAAACAAAAACATGTCCTAAAAATAATTCTAGAAAATTTTTATAAATTTCTTTAACTTAACATATGATTTGAATAAAATGTAAAAAAACTTTACAAAATTTTTTTTTTATATTTTCGCAAAATTTACAAACCAGATTTAGGACACAACATAACCAAAAAATTTTTAAATTAAATTAAAGGAAAAGCTCCTTCTCAGCGTTATTCCTCCGTATATAACGGAAGAGGTTAAGCAAGTCATGCTAGAAAAACTTAATAACAAAACCACGTCTCGCAAATATTCTATACTGCAATCCCAACAATTCCACGAGATGTACGTTCAACATCACAAGAATGTCAGGTATAAATTTTTTTAGTTATATATAAAACGTGTGAGGCCAAGTTCCATACAAGAGACAGCATAAATAGTTAGAGCCCCAATATCAAATATTTTTTATGGTTTAAGAGGTGAGTGGAGATGCATGGTAAATAAGAGTTTTCTTTTTTTCCCTTGTTCTGGTTATTTAGATGGCTTACACTCGTAATATGTCAACGGTGGCGCTAGATTGAGGGGAGAAATCTCAAAATTACAAAAAAAAGATATGTTTGCTCTCTTCTTGAATGAACAAAAAAAATAAAGGAAAATTTCTAACCTAAAAATTAGCAAATTTAAAAAAAATTCCCAGAGAGAGCTCTCCCAAAATATTCTTGTTCATAAAATTAATGTTTAATTATAAGTAAAAGGTAATGTTATTATAGTGAGCACAAATTGAGCGTTTCAATCGCTCTGTTGCAAGCGCAATTTTCTTTCTTTCTTTCTTTCTTTCTTTCTTTCTTTCTTTCTTTCTTTATTTCTTTCTTTCTTTCTTTCTTTCTTTCTTTCTTTCTTTCTTTCTTTCTTTCTTTCTTTCTTTCTTTCTTTCTTTCTTTCTTTCTTTCTTTCTTTCTTTCTTTCTTTCTTTCTTTCTTTCTTTCTTTCTTTCTTTCTTTCTTTCTTCATCACTTTTTTTTATTCTTCGCTTTGTAATATTATATAAAAATGCAATATAAATAACTTACTTATATCCTAAAAAAGGAATATTTTAGAAATTAAAAGAAATAAGAAGGCAGACGATAATATAATTTTCAAAGATAAATCCCTTTTTTTAGAAATTATTTAAAATTTTGAATCGACGATATTAATAAAAAGGCAACCTCAAATTTAAACAAGGAACGCGTTACTTTTTTTTTATTTAAAAATTACGGCAAAACTTAAACGCTCAATTTGTGTGCATTCTAAACATTCCGTTATTAGGATTTTAGACAAAATAATATTATGTAAGCCAGGATGCTCATAAGTAGCCGAAAGGTTTGGACCTCTATTCGCGCTAAATCTCTAGGCCTTACATAATATAATTTTGGTTAAAATCTTAATAGGGCCGTTTTCAAAAAATCGCCCCATATTAAAAAAAAGGGTGTTATATACATGAGAAATTTCGAAACTATCACGAGTGTCTTCTAATTGTCACTTATTTGCTGCAAGTATTCTCAAAAAAAAAGTAAGGCTGGAACAGGAAGGGGGGGGGGGAGGAGGGAGGAGGCTAATACTCTTCAAATTTTGTAATCTGTTTTTTTTAAAGACAGGTATTATGACTTTTGCACGAAATTATTTTATATATATATATTTTTTTAAAAAGATTCGAATTGTTTAACTTATAACAGCATCCTTTATTCGGACATCGTAAACTTTACTCCCCTATCTCAAGAGCTATCGGCCGAACAATTGGTTAGAACATTGAATGAATTATTCGGCTCGTTTGACAAATTAGCCCAAGTTTTTTTTGAATATATTTTATTGTACGCTAAAATCAATTACTAGAATTTATAACTTATTTCTATAATTCACTTCATAACACTTATTAACTTAATATAATTTTTGCAAAATTTTTGAATCCTATTTTATTTCCTGTGCATTTTTTTAAAAAATATATATATATATATATAAATGTTAACTTTATTATTTACGAAATTCTCAGAAGAAATTTCTCTGAATTTGATATTATTGGATTTATTTTTTTTTTTTTGCAAATCATCTGACTTATAACTATAACATTTTTATTAAAAATACCTTTTACATTTTAAAAGCATAATCAATGTATGCGAATCAAAATACTCGGAGATTGTTATTATTGCGTTTCGGGTTTGCCTATATCTCGACCCAACCACGCTTCCAATTGCGTTAAAATGGGTTTAGACATGATTGAAACTATAAAGTACATATTTTTTATTAACTCGTCAGAGAGTCGTTTTGGAATCGAGTTTTAACAGAGAAAAAAAGGGATATTTGCTTTATCCTATATTGAAAGAATCAGGGAGGTTTGAACCAAGTCCTTAACCGCTAGACTGGTTTAACCCCATTTTTACGGCTAGCCCGAACCTAATCACAAAAAAAACCAGATTTGTTTTGAAAACGTACACTTTACTCTTCCCCTGCCATGAGTATAATTATTGTTTCGGCCCCTGAACCTTGATCGATCCACAGCTTCATTAGGACTTGAACGGTAACCAAAGTTTAATCCTATATTATATAGTGTTGTAAGGATTTTGGGCTTCCCTAATTTTGGTAGTCATTTCATTGAAGTTTCTTGCAATTTTTTTGGTTTTTTTTAACATATAAATTTATAAAATAATTGTGATAAAACTTTTTTTAACAAGCGTCAAAATATGGGAAATTTTTTTTTTGACTGGCCTAAGTTCGTTATTGATTTTTAGGTCTCCAAGCCCGAACTAAATTTTCATCTTATCTTTCGACCATAGCTCGGCTGATTCCGCCAAAGTTTTACCCGTTCTTAAGCCAGAACTTGGCCCAATCAGAATTTATCCCGGCTCGGATAAAATTTTTGATCTATTTTTATGGCCTATCCCTGTTTCGGACCGAGTTGGCTATCGGGCATGGTTAATAAAATGAATAATATATCAACCTATTCTCAATAGGAATGACCTTTTCTGAAAAATGTCAGTATTGAAAAAATTATTTCAATATTAAGTTAGGGTTCCTCACGTCTATTTTATTTTCGATTCGAAGGCCTGTTACTAAAGATGTCAATAGGTTATTCACAATGCTGGATATCCCGTCTAGTGAGCTGTGCCATCACTCTTCTATCTATTCTTTTACTTTTACTGTTTAATATTTGTTTTGTTCAGATTTTTATTATATTATTCAATCACATACTATAATTTTGCAAAACCTCGTTTAGAATCTCAACATTACTATTATGTTGATACTTGTTTATTACGTCAGGGAATTTAACTTGTTTATTCTTTAACATTAAAAAAATAATAATAACTATCTTTAACCTTTTTTTCTAGCATTAAAATCTTATCATTGAAAGTTTTGCACCTTCTGCAAGTTAACATAAGGTAATATATAAATATGTAGGTAATATATAAATATGTAGGTAATATATAAATATGTATATATACAGTGTTCAAAGTAACAAGCACTTCTATACCACCTAAGTCAATAACGAAATTACCTCCCTGTCTCTTCCTACTCTCTTCCCTCCCATCACTAAATCAAAATTGGTAAAACTCTCCTCCAGGGTTTTTAACATTTGCTCAAAATTCAAAAATCTTCATTGTTCTTAAAGATTATCTTCAAATGCTCATTTAATTTTTTTTGTTAAACCCTACTCTCCTCAGACCTCGTGACGATCTTACGTCTTAATCCACTCCCCATAGTTGAATTTCCTGCAAATTAGAAGCGATTTAATTTTATTTTGCATATAATAACAAAGAACTGTTAGAGAATCCACGGGAGTCAACGTGGATATGAGGATAGGTATCCACTCCGGAGACGTTTTGTGCGGGATAGTTGGTCTGCTCAAATGGCAATACGATGTTTGGTCGGACGACGTTTCTCTGGCAAATAAGGTCGAAGCGGCTGGATTACCTGGGTACCATTGGATATTTTATATAATGTTATCACGTGATAGATTCCGTTTAAAATCAACCCCTCCCTATGATTCAAAGTTGGTGATTTTAGGAGGATTTTCCTTCTCAAGTTAGGAGTTAGCAAAAGTTTTCATAGCTCTTTATACATTACGAAATAGACCAGTGTGGTCATGCTATTCAAAAAAATAATAAAATATACTTCTTTTAAACAGGGGGAGTTAATTAAAATAAGTTACTATATATTTGATTGGCCCATTCTGCCCCTGAATTGTAAAAATTATATTTTAAAATTATTAATTTCATACAAAATATATATCTTTTGTTTTGTCGACAGTTTATATGCCTTTAAAACAAAAATTAAAATAAATAGTTAATATCTCAGTCTAAGAAATCACGCTCTGATGTATAAAATAATAATATCTAGCATATCAAAAAACTCTCCAAATCACATCTAGGAAGTTTAACTATAGATTAGTCCTTTGTTCTCGTAGTTTATTTACTTAACCCTTTTATGGGAAATGAATTTGTAGCGGAAATAAACCAAAAAAATGTATAGTTATAATGTAAACAACATAAGAAATGGGGAGAAAGGGTTGAATGGGAAAAACTCAAATCGGATTATTTGCACTGGATATATAGAATAATAGTAAAAATATTTATAAGTAAGGTACACGTCACTGGAGCCACTTTGGAATATTTGAACGGGGAATTCGAAGTAGAACCGGCCAACGGTCAGGATAGGAGCGAATATTTAAGAGAAAACAACGTCGACACATATTTCATAGTCCCTTCGAATGTATATAATATAATATAATTATTTAATAAAACATATGGTAAAGCCCGACGAGGACCTCCGATTCCGACCTATCCGAAGTTAAATTTAACCGACAACCGATTTTGCTTCGGGTCGATAAAATCTAATTTTAAAAAAAAGAAGGTCAATAAGACCGGATAAAAAACCGCCGGATATCACCTGCTAGAACATCTCCAATATATAACCTACCTTTCAAATTGAGATGATCTATATTCAAAAATGATCAGAATATATAAAATTAGGGGAATGATTTTTACCTTTAAAAAAAAACTTGACTATGGGGCTAGCAGATTAAACTTGAAAAAAAAAATTCCGTTTGTTTGTTTTATTTAGCTGACTGCATCATTGCTAATATAGTGGTTGTTAAAAAGCCCGAATCGGGACGATTTTAAAAAAACGGCCTTCCCGGTTAAGATTATAACCAAAATAACATTATGTAAAACCTAAAAAATTTGCTCATAGCTGGCAGAAATGCTTAGACATCTATTCGCCAAATTTCGACCCTTATATTATTTTTAGCTAATCTTAATCGGGGTGGCTTTTTAAAAACACTACTAATAAGTAATCATCTAAAGAGAACATAATACTTTTCTATTTTAAACCCTTATTATTTTTTAAAAATGGATTTTTATTTCTTTACTATGTAATAATTTTATTTTAACAGAAAAGAAAGAAAGAAAGAAAGAAACTAGAAACTAGAAACTAGAACTAGAGATTTAATAATAATGATTTTTCGTAGTAATCATATCGGGTATTAATTATTATTTATATATAATCATTTGAAGATGTTGCTAAACAAACAAAACGTCCAAAAACATTACGAAGATAAAAAGTTGTCCATACAAAGCTTATCCGATAAAAACAGGGTATCCAGAAGTGGGAACGTGAAATATGTGGAATCATGGGGCGGCACCAATTTATTCCAACCTACCATCAATATTAGCCAGAAGGTTTTATTTTAAGGCTAATGATATTTAGTTTCGTTATAGATTTAAAATTGAAATAAACTATTTTCAGTTTCTAAATTTTGAACTTTTTAAAATTATATATATTTTTTTTTTCTTTATTCTTCTTCAAAAATAACTCATATATGTGTTGTACCGTGTTATGGAGTCAGCGGGGATTCTAAATCCCTTAATTTTGATTCATTAACTCAGAGGGATTTTCTAAATTTTAAGGATCTGACGTGATGACTGAGAATCTATTCCAACATGTAAAGAGTAACTTGCACTGTAAATTTTGACAATTTTAGCCATTTAATTTATTTTTTTAAACTATTTAAATTTATATTAATTTTTGTATATACATATATATATACTTTTTGGTGTTGTTAAAAAGTCAGTTAGGTCGATGTCGATTTTTACCAAATATTTTAGCCAAAATAATATTATGTAACCTTCGAGATTTGGCAAATAGATGTCAGAAGTGTAAAATCCTTTCTGCCATATATGAGCAAAATGTCCAGGCTTACATAATAGGATTTTGGCTATAATTTTAATCGTGCTTTTTATCAACATTCATATTCTTCATATATATAAATAAATTTTCGAGCGAAAATTGTGTAAAATTTATATGATTGGTAGATTCTCTACGCAATATTGGAATCCATTTCCGGTTAAATCCGATTTTTTAAAATAATTTAAAAATTACCCTGGTTAAAAATGATTTGAAATTGAGAAGATTCCATATCCCAATACCAATTTAATTTTTTATATTTTAAAAAAAAATGCATTATAGACACTATCGCTCTTCGAAAATAGCATGTTCACCAAAAACAATTTTTGGAATATCAGGTGAAGAATAAATATAATAATTCTTATAATTTAGAATAATGATGTATATATTAAAAGAGAAAACCGATGTTATGTTAACTCTCACACAGGAAATCTGCTATCTAAGTTTTATTTTAAAAAAAATTTCTTATTGATTTAAGACGTGTATGTCTATGTTCTGATTGGACATATTATTGATACTTATTTGTCATTTAGCTTAGGCAAAACAGCTTTTGAACTAGTGCACGCTATTTTGGATCGTTTTAAGTGTTTGAAGGAATTGTTGTTTTTTCTAGGCTGTTTAATCTAAGATATATAGCCGGCTAAACAGCTGGATAGGAAATAATTCTAACCAGGACACAGTGGATTCATATTTTTTATAATTACACTTTTAATTTGGTTTTCCTTCTCAAACTAACGATGCTACTGAAAGATTTATTTTATTTATTGATCTTTTTAATAAAAAAATTATATGAAAATTATATAAAATTGCTAAATTCAATATCAGGGGTTGGTTCAACTATAAAGATATAAATCCCGTCTTCTTGTTTTACAAAGATGGCAGATTAGAAAAACGCTATTATTTTCAATCGACGGATCCTATCATCAAAATATCGCTCGTATTTTGCCTCTCCACGTTTCTATGCGTCCTTATGACTTATATGCTAATTTTTCGAAAGTATATATATATTATATATATATATATGCGGAAATTTATATGACCAATAAGTGGGCGGAGACCTGGAACAAGGGAATCTCCTCCTTTCCGGTTTTTGTTTAGTTCACGTAGTCACGAGAATTTATGGAACACATTTTTGCACCCTCGGAACATAAATCCTGTTATTTTCTAAAATAATCTGTCTGTCCTGATCCCATTCCATTGTTTCTCTCTAGAATAAAAGTTTTCAAAACGTTCCAATGTCCCCTGCTTCTTATGTTTAGAGATTTTATTTTAATATTTTATTAATACCGTCTAGTTATTTTAAATTTTATTTAATCCGCCAGCCCGCCAAATATTTGAAAATGATTTTAAATGGCTGACTTGGCTCTTTTATTCGTTTATATAATTGTATTTTTTTAATTAAATATGTGAAATATGCAATAATAAAAAATCGGTTCTGTTATTTCTCCCCGAAAGAAATATTTAAAAATTTACCAACCCATTTGTTTTAAAAATATTTATTTTTAACCAACCAGCTACCCGCTAAATGTTTAAAATATTTTTTAAAAAGCCCGCCTGCCCACACCCACCCGACCTCCCCATTGTGGACCTCTAACACCGTCCTTAAGTGAAATTCTTTCTAAATACAATTTTTCATTTTGATATAACAGAAATTATATATTGACCATCGCTTACTACACCTTCGGCCTGTACATAATTATACTCATATTCATTTCCTATTCGTTTCCGTTGACTAAAGTAAAAATTTTAAAATAATTTATTCATACTTAAAATTTAAGACACTTTGGCGCAGCTGACTGAGTCACGGATAATGCCTAGACTGGCAATGCATTCATAATAATTCATTTGAATGCGTCCTTGAATGTTGAATGCAAATCAGCTGGATCAGCCATTTTGGGCAATTCATATAGTGTATTATTCTCACGTTAAAAACTACTAAATTAAATTGATTACTTGCTTCCTTGTTATCTCGATGATAACACAATTCTTTAATAAAGTTTGCGTCAGACATAGGAATGAATTGGTATCTCGTTTTAAATTTTTAATAATGATATGGGTAATCAAAATGGCCTCCCCAGCTGTTTTCATTGATGTAAACTTTTAATGAATGCATCGTCAATTTAGGTATTATTGTATACCATTGGTCACAACCAAATTTTATCAAAATCTTTAAAAAAAATAAATGTTTATATTGACCCTATCCCCCGTATCTTTCTGATCTTACTACCCTCTCTATAACTCGCAGCTAACTGCTCATATGTTGGATTCAGATGAAATTATCATCCATAAAAAGAGGGGGAGGGTGGATGATTTAAAGAATAAGCGTCAGTGAAGTCGGGCGTGCAATAGTAGATGCTCCTCTATATTGGTTAACTCTTTCATTAAAAACGGTTTTTCTCTTTTGTACTCTTCAAAGTGCAAATATCGTTACTCACAGGAATATAAATTTAATTAGAAACAACCTTTACGTATATAACAATAATGAGCTTACTTCATTGGTTAGGGTTAATTATTAGTAATAAGATATTATTATTTTGTCTCTGGGTTATTGTTATTATACAGATCTCAACATTAATAAATGAGATTTAAAAAAAAATAAATAAAAGATGAATATTATCTCCTTGAGATATGCAGATCTAATTTTATCTCTATTCCCTCGGCTAATCCCCGCACGCAACTATTTTTTTTTGAAAAAATATTTTAGTTATATTTATAATTTTAAATATATTAATTTTTTTTTTATACCATTTGAATTATTTGAATATTTAAAAAAAAAGTTTAAGTTCATATTTAGATACATTCCAAACTATCGATATAACTCGTCAATTAAACTTTCAACTAAAAGAAGACAATACGTGTCGAGGGTGTTCGCTTCCTTGAGCGTCATTATCCCGTTGAACTTATTGATATTATCGACTATGGTTAGTTTTATTTATGTATGTTGATTTTACATCGTAAAATATCAAGGTAATAAAAATATAACAGGGGGATTTTAATCATTTTTACAAACATGGTTAATCGAAAAATGTCGAAGAAATTTGTTTTGCAAGATCTCCCCAAGAAATATGCCTTGAATAAAAAACAAGATATTTTGTATTGTAATGTATACCCAGAGCCGGTATTCAGTAAATTGGGAGCAATGAAAATATTTTCTCTTTTTCTTTAGTAAATTTTTTTATAAAAAAACTCAACTTAAATACGAGTGTTTACTTCCCTAGCATCTATTAATATTAATTTATTAAGAGATATAAACCAGATTCCCAATTTTTGATTTTGAACGGGAACCAATTAAGAGATGGGAGGAGCAGGGAACAGCTTATTTGGGAGTCAATATTTAATATATACTTATTTGGTAGTGGGAAGGGGGGGGTTGTTTTTCTTTCATAAACAATTAGAAATAAATCTGGAGTACACATTTATTAAAAATTAAAGCAGCAAGAAATTTTGAAGGAAAGTTTCATAGATCACAACAGGTGATATTATAGCGAGCCATCTTAACTAATATTCTCGATAAAATGACCATTTACCTTCTTTAGTTTTTTTTTGATTTATTATTCTAATTTTTATTTTCTTTTATATTTTAAAACAATATTCTCTGCCTACTTCAAGTTTATATTTTACACGTCCGACGCTACGCCTCGATATATCATGTTAAGGACTTCCGTTCATCAGTATAAAGATGTTTCAAGGGAAACTTATTACGAGATCTTTCGGTATTTCAATGTACGAACATATTACTTACTATATGCATTTTCTTTCGTTTGTTCGTTCGTTCCTCCGTCCGTTCGTTTGTTCGTTCGTTTGTTCGTTCGTTCGTTCATTCTTACTACTAAACAAATTTTTTTTTAATGGTTTATATAAAAAAAAAACCCTCAAAAGTACGTCATATCAATGCTTCTAATGGCCGTTTCCGCGTTATCCTTTTTCACTCAACACTCTTTCGTAACTAAATTAGTTTTGACGGTCGTAATTATGGGTTTTGACGTAGCGACTATATTCGTAGTAACGGCGAGAATTTTTAATCCATTTTCCCAAAACTTTATTCCTATCATCGACTCGGCAGGTTTGAATTAATATAATTAGTTTATATTATATTTTAGAAAAAAACTGGCGGGTGAATAAAATAAATGGACAACACACACGTGATTGAACACCATTATTTTTATGAAAATACAAGAATTCTTTATAAATCTAACCCATTCCACGTCATCTAGCACAGATTAACCCTAGTGGTCTATATATCTGGCCTATGAAAATAATGATAATCACGTGATTCATTTTATTTTTACACATTTAAATTTTTTTTTTAAATTTAATAAAAAAAAAAGATTTAAAGGATGAATATGAATCCTTCATACAAACTCTATTCTATTCTTCTTTATATTTTTTTGTTTTAATTTTGTCTGGATGAATATGAATCCTTCATACAAACTCTATTCTATTCTTCTTTATATTTTTTTGTTTTAATTTTGTCTAAGTTTTATGTTCCTTGAGGATCTGAAGATTTCTGTTTCGCCCAAAACGTTGAGCGAAATTCTCTTATTTAAGATCAAAATATTTTTAATTTTTTTGCATCGACTTTGAAACTACTCCTTTAGAAAATCACGCTTATATGTATATCTCAGAAAAAGTAGACACCCAAGTCAATTTTTCCTCTAAATTATTAATATAATGATAATGAATGAAGTTCTTTCAATACCACTCACTTAAATTAATTCATTGAAGTGAAAATATTTTAACCCTAAAAACCCATACATATGGCCTTTTAAACCTCAACCACTTTATAAAAGGTTGATTTAAGAAAAAAATAATATTGGTCAATTGTTAATCGAACAAAAAGAAAAAAATATTAAAACAAAATATAGATAGGAAAGAAAGAAGGAAAGAATGAAAGAAAGAAAGAAAGAAAGAAAGAAAGAAAGAAAGAAAGAAAGAAAGAAAGAAAGAAAGAAAGAAAGAAAGAAAGAAAGAAAGAAAGAAAGAAAGAAAGAAAGAAAGAAAGAAAGAAAGAAAGAAAGAAAGAAAGAAAGAAAGAAAGAAAGAAAGAAAGAAAGAAAGAAAGAAAGAAAGAAAGAAAGAAAGAAAGAAAGAAAGAAAGAAAGAAAGAAAGAAAGAAAGAAAGAAAGAAAAAGAAAGAAAGAAAAAAGAAAGATTACGCATTTATTTCATTTAGAAAAATTATAATTGATTTAATTTTTAAGGGAAAACCATCTTACCCCATATGGAGTTGTCAAATATCAAGACCGACATTTATCGGAATTCTATCAACTACGGAAATCTTACTAACAACTTCTTAGGGAACGATAAAACTACTTTACCCTTTTCATTCACCGATATACCTAGTGGCGAGTAAATTGTTTGTTTGTTTTTGTAAACGAATTAAATAAAATCTATATATAAAAAAAATATTTCCCCAATTTATTCACTCTTAATAAAAACTTATGTATTAGAAAATATAAATTTTGTATAAATTTCCCCTATTCCTAACCCAAACGTTAAATTTGATTTAAAAAAAGATAGTTTAATCGTTATGGTAATTCTCATCTAATTTCGTATTATTTACAAAATGATGAGGATAAAACTAGTTTGTATAGTAATTCCCCCTTCCTATTTTTTTTAAAGAATTATCAATTTTAGCAACCTTTATCATGCTAATTAGTCTTGAACTATCGACTAATTTTGCCACTTAAAAATAACATTTCGAATTATTTTTTTTTAAAAGATTTCCAGAGGCATCCAGGTCCTACAAAGCTTTCATTAACTACTTCAGATCTCATTCCATCATATCCATCCTATTCCTATGCGTAACCCTATGTTTATTCGACAGAAGGGTTATTGTATTATTATATCTACTTATAATTTTATATTTAGAGCCCTTCCATCCGACCTTTTTATCTGGGATATTTAGATTTGATTCCACCCGGCATGGGCTTTGGAATGGGCCGACTTTTATGTGTCTTTGCAATGCTTTACATTTTTTTTATATATAAGTATATATGTAACCGCCACTGTTTTTTTTTCCCGGCCGGCCATGTGTTATTTTTTCAAATTTAAATCATTTTTTTGAGCGCGTTTTTTTTAAATTTTAAAATCTGATTTTACCGGGAAATGTATTCCGGCATGTTTTTTGAATGCCTATCTCATGAATTCTAGACAATTTTGGCGTTAGACTTTGTGTCATTTATAATTTATACAGAAAAATTTATGGAAAAACGTTATTGTGATTAGGTATTCCAAACATGATGGAATACATTTCAAATATTCAGTTTTCTATTTCCTTCTCAAGAAGATTAATCGTAATAATAAATATTGCTGAATTAATGTATGCAGGTAGAATACGATAATCGTCTTGACTTTTTCTGGAAATCGAAATTCAAAACTGATAGGGAAGAACTTGAAACGATGGGTTCCCTAAACAAGGTGCTATTAGAAAATATTTTGCCGGCCCACGTGGCAGCCCACTTTCTCTCGCAAACTCGTGGATTCAATGTATATAACACCTTTAAATAATTTTTTTAATTCAAAAAGTAACGGCTTTACAGATACTCCTTAGGGAAATTGATTTTAAGAAGGATTAAAATTGTCTGCTCATTTTTAAAAAAAAAAAAATCACTAATCAGATATAAAAGTCAATTTTAGAGATTTAAAAACAAATGCTCAAATAATTTTATAAAAAACGTTTTTTTCCCCCTTCCCCCTGTTTTTTTTTAAAGAGTTTATATTACAAGCATCACGACAACGTGAGCGTACTGTTCGCGTCCATTCCCAATTTCAAAGAATTCTGGGATGAAAATGACGTGACAAACAAAGGATTAGAGTGCATGAGATTGTTGAACGAAATCATTTGCGAATTCGATAAGGTTTTAAAGAGATATTACATTATTTACACTAGACGGCATAATTTATTTTTAAAAATGTCACCACGTAAATTTGTAGGGTATTTTTAAAGGTTTTATCGATTGAACAAATTAACGCTCAATATTCAAATATAAAATAAAAATGCTATCTAGGTTTTTAGGTGTTAGAACATATGCTGAAAGCGCTTATGCTTAAAATTCCTTTTTCAATAAATATCCATCTTTTAATGGTCCTCTCATCTAATATTAATATACATAGTTTATCCATCATATATACAATTTATTTATTTTTCCTCACATCAGATTAATTATACATATCCCCCCTCCCCCTCCCCAATAAAAAAACAACTTTTTCAATGTATCGTTACTTTTAGTTACTCCTTAAACCAAAATTCAGCTCGGTCGAAAAAATCAAAACGATAGGAAGCACTTACATGGCCGCTTGCGGACTTAGTCCCAAACGTGAATCCCAGGTATTCTTCATTAATATTATATTGGACAACAGCTGTTAGTGACTAGAAAATATAGCATTCGCCCATTAACACGAATGTGGCGATTTAAAAGAAGAGATTAAGGTTCAAATACTTTAAATTCTTTTTCGCTGAAAAATTTTCTCGACGCGTACTTAATTTGCGACCAATTTTTTTTGAAATGAGTCATACCACCCCCCCCCCTTATCCAAAAAAATTATTTTGGGTTTTAAGTAGTTTTCCCATGTTTCGCAAAAAGGTTCTAACAAAATAATTTAAATTATTTGAACCTCTAACCGGGTTCGAATTCCTGTTAGATTAGTTGAATCATTTGATTTTTTTTTTAAAAAAAAAGAATATTACTTTAAATGAAAAAGAACTGGCCAAATCGAAAATGAGGAATTTTTGAAATATAATGTAATTTTTTTAAAAAAACCCTTTTTCTTTCGGGAATTGATTGAAGAATACGTTAGCTAAACGAGAATCTCAGGTTATCATTATATTAGAATTTGCCCTAGCGATGATCAACAGCCTAGATCTCATCAATAAAGATTCCTTCAACAATTTCCAACTTCAGATAGGTATTTAGATATTTATTCCTTTTTTCTTAAAACAAAAAATGTATGTAATTGAAGAAGAAAAAAAACTATTGTGGAAATCAGTGACCTAAACCGAACCGTTAAACCGCTATTGTTTAAGGAACCTAAACTGTCACCCTAACCCTGAATCGAACTGTTTAGATCTGTGGAGCGGGTTTTAATCCTTTGTTCTTTCCTAACTCTTCCCCAAGGATTATTGGTAATCAATTTTTATTGACAAGTATCATCATTTTGACCTACTTATCCAAATTAGCGTAGTGAAGTCTTCACAGCCATAGCAATTCTCTCAACCTTATCTATAATTTGATAGAAGAGAATTTTTGTTTTACAATTGTATACTGCTAAAATATTTTATTTCTTTTAGGGGTAATTTTTTTTTTAAAAAAATTATGTTTGTTTTACGAAAATGTTATAACCAATTTTTGAAGGTTTAAACCGAACTGTTATTGTTAATTTTTAAGAACCGAGCCTGCTCCGCTATATTAAGCTTGAACCGGGACCAATATGCTTTAAGCTTCGGATCCCTAGTTACAAGATAAATATTTCGATTCTTCGTTGTTGGTGAACAAAAATTTGTTTTTATTTGATAATGATATCATAAGTTTGAGGTTACTCTTAGACTTACTTGTCACTGATTTTTTTCCTATCCTCCAGGATCTGCCCAGTTTTGTTAAAAAGGAAGAAAAATACCATTTGGTTTAGCTTAAGTTTTTAGAAAATTTCTGATTTTAATCACCTGTTCGGGTTTTACAATTTCCTGGAACGGTCCCTAATACAGTTTCTTTTAAGTTATATATTTTTTTAAATACAATCAGGAATAAATTATGGGCCAGTAATCGCTGGTATAGTCGGAGCTCAAAAGCCTCAGTTCGACATATGGGGTAATACGGTTAACATAGCTAGTCGAATGGATAGCCATGGCAAACTCCGGAGTATTCAAGTTATTTTTTAAAGATATAAATATATAATATAAATTTTAGCTTATATAATAGTAATTAATAAAATAGAAAGAAAGAAAGAAAGAAAGAAAGTAAGGGAGGATGGAAGGAAGGTAGGAAAGGAAGGAAGGAAATAAGGAAGGAAGGAAGGAAGGAAGGAAGGAAGGAAGGAAGGAAGGAAGGAAGGAAGGAAGGAAGGAAGGAAGGAAGGAAGGAAGGAAGGAAGGAAGGAAGGAAGGAAGGAAGGAAGGAAGGAAGGAAGGAAGGAAGGAAGGAAGAAAGGATAAGGAAAGAAGGAAATAAGGAAGGAAGGAAGAAAGGATAAGGAAGGAAGGAAGGAAGGAAGTGATTTTGCTCATTTTTTATTATTATTTATTTTTTTTTTTAAAAACCAATAATTTAGATTACGGAAGCTACCGCTAAAATTTTGATATCTCATGGTTATAAATGCGATCTCCGAGGTCCAATAAAGATCAAAGGGAGCGGAATAATGACAACATACTTTGTTTGTCTGGAGGGATTGAAAAATAGAGAATCTCGAATTGGATTAATAAGCAATTATTAAATTGGGTGTCCATCATCTTATTTAAAAGACTTTTGCGCCATTAATGTAACGCGATTTAATTTTGTGTATTACCAGTTAATACCATTTCCATTAGTAACAAATTTCTTGTTTGGAAATGAAGGCTTTTAAACCTGATTTTCACTGTCATCTCGTGCTTAAGCAAAAAGTAAAACCAAGCTTTAACACTTAATTATTTTAGGATCAAATGAAAAATGTTAAAGGTAGAATGGTAAATAAGATAAATGAAAAGAATGTCGCAAACACCAAATCTAGCCAATACCTGATTATATATCGATTCCAAGCAAAAAAAAATACAATTTATAATATAGTTTAATTTTCCTTATTATTATTTATTATACAAAATATATATGTATTATACAATAAAACCTGTCCTTATTATTTATTTAAACAATGCATATTCGAAATTTTATATATAGTTTTATAATTATTGAAATTAAATAAATGTGTTTAAATTATATATATATAAATTATAATTTTATTTAAAAAAAATATAAAGCCATATTACAGTTATAAATTATGATTATATGCTTTAAGACTTAAAAAAATTCAGAAAATGGTTATAAAGTCTTAGCCATATATTCGGAAAACATGTTCCTTTATAAGATATATTAGAGTAGTTGTGTTTTCCATTTTTCCTACTTAATTTAAAACTTACTCTTGTAAATTTGCAATTACCATTTTCAATAATTTTATCCTAGATTTAAAGTAAATATCATTATTATTTTTTTAAACACTTCAATTTGGAAGCATGACATATTTTTTTGAATAAAAGAAAATTCAACGTAAAATTCAGCATCTAACTATGAATGCACTATTAGGCCTTTTTCAATTTTTTTTTTTAAATGGAAAGGATGTGTGTTTGTATTATGTTATTAAAAATATTTTGGGGAATGAAAACGAGATCATCTTGTTTTTCTGGGGAACTAATAAACTTTAGTTACTTGGCCTGGTGAATGATCAGGGGTTAGCCATTTATTTTGGATAGTATATATCTTTCTGCGGTCCTAATCCTCAATTCTTCCAACTTTTGAACCACCCCCCCCCCCCCCACCAAGAGTTTCAGGTTCGAAGATAGATAAATGTGACTTCTGTAGTATCCTTTATAATGATCCTAATAACAACATGAGAAATCTCATGCGAGAAATCTCACCATTTTCCATTTAATAAGTAATAATGCCTAAATTGTCATCATATTATTATGATTTGCTTAATACTCTTTAAAAAATATCAAAATAATATAAATAAACATATTTAAATCTTATAGTACGCTTATAATCCCTAAGGCTAAGGAGCAATAGCGTTTAGCCTTGTTTTTTTTATTAAATGCTTCGTTGTTTAAATTGAACTGGAATTTTTTCTAAATGGGCAGAAATAAATTTTGAAAAAAAACACAAAATATTTTGTGGTTTTTGTTATATTTGAATGTTTATATATATTTTAAAAGGTTACGCTATTTGAATTATATATTTCTTACATTATATATTATCTTGTGGAGGTCAATGTAATTGCATATTAGTAGTAGTTAAATGACAAAATATATAGGAAACAATTTTATAAAAAAGAATCTATTGTTTTGACTATGAAAGTTTTATGAACTCAAAAAAACTTATTCATTTACACGATATCATAATTTGAAATAAATCGTATAAACATATGTGTGTTGAATTTGGGAACACCATTAAAAGTTGAAAAAATTATTTTACGTTTTTCCAAAAATCTCATACAAAAATAAATAAATATTTTTAAAGTTCTAATAATTGGTTTGTAAAGTTATCTTTATAAATATAGCAGCCCTAATATAAAAAATTCCAATATTTGATTTATATTTCTTTTTTAAACTCTAGTGCCACCTAGCGGGCAAAATATTTTATAATTTTAAAATCGATTCACATGGGGCTGACAAATTATATATTATTCTGATAAAAAAGGTTTACCAGTTATTGCACAATTTATTTGTAGTTCCTGCCCTAGAATTATTTATTTAGATATAAAAAATGAAACACCAAAAAATAAGTAAAATTTATACTATATTATTTAAATAAAAAAAAAGATTAACATAAGTTTATATAATATATATTAACAATTATTTTTAATATATTAACTACAGTAATAATATGATTTGTTGTAACATTTCATAATGTGAAAAAACATTCTTATATAGTTAAATAACTTTCCATAATTATTGTAAAAAACATTTTAATAAAAATTTTTAAACTTTAATGAAGACTAACATCAAAGTTATGAATCAAATAGTTTTTTTTGGACACAAGTTTAAGTGGAAAAATGAGAATTCAAAAAAAAATTTTTAATAATAAAGTTCTTAAATTTTAATGAAGACTAACGTCAAAGTTATGAATCGAATATAGTTTTTTTATGTTTTGGACATAAGTTTAAGTGGAAAAATAAGAATTTTAAAAGATATTATAAAAAAAAAATTTTCTAAGATTTTTACAATACCTTTTTTAAATTTAAAGAATTATTCCAATATTTTAATTTTACTTTTAGCTATCCAAAGAATGGAAATCAGGATATGAAATTTGAATAATTTCTTAAATAAACATGAGTGAAAACTCGAATTTAGGGTTTTCAGATAATTCTTATTTGTTTAGAATTTTTTATGATCAATTCGAAACACCAAAATAAAAAAAACCATTTATTATTTATTTATTCTTTGTAAATAAAATATTGCACAATATAAATCATAAACAAATTCAATCATTTAAAGGAATGCATCGAATTCCCTCTTCAATAAACTTTATGGTGTGAGAATAAAAATTTGAAAAATTATATGTAAAATAATTGCCTAAAATACTCGTAACAATTGAAATAACTTCATTTCGGTTATTGGGTTTAGGAGAATTTGATCTATATTGATTTTTAATTACTCCGAAAAAATTTTCTATCGGATTTAATTGCGGCGAATAGGGTGGCAAAAATATATTATTTGGATAATTCTCACTAATTATCCTCGCTCGATGTATAGGAGCATTATCCATTATAAGTAATGAATTTGATGGTAAAAGTGCGAATAATTCATCCAGGTATGCCTTGAATTTTATCGCAGTAAAAGCTCCATCTATTATTGGAATTTTTTCAATCCACTTATTCCTATTGTGCATAGGTTACCGGAAGTTTTTAAAAAAATGTTTTTCTCAAAATTTTCTTTCAAGTTTTTAAAAGTTTTTTTAAAAAGGATGTATTTTTCTCAACAAGTTTTTACAATAATTACGGAAAGTTAAATTGAAGTGTCAGGGCTTCCGTTATGGGTAGAATGGTTGGTGGCCCATCTCGATGATTTTTGGTATGCGTCATTTTAGGTTAATAAAAGCAACTACAATAATTAAATTTTAAATTTTTTTAATTTTAAAACCAAAAAAAATATAAAAAAATAAGAATTATCTGAAAACACAAATTCTAATTTTCTTTCACTTATGTTTATTAAGAAATTATCAAATATCTTATCCTGATTTCCATTCTTTAGATAACTAAAAGTAACATTATTATATTGTAATAATACTTTTAATTTAAAAAAAATATACAATGCATTTTAAAAAAAAATTTTTATACTCATTTTCCCGCTTAAACTTGGGTCCAAACATAAAAAAATTATATTCGATTCCTAACTTTGACATTAATCTTCATTAATAAAAGCTCTTATTATTAAAAAAATTTTTAAAAAATTATATCAAAAATTTTTTAAAAAATTTTATCAAAATGTTTTTACAATAATTATGGAAAGTTATTTAATTATATAAGAATGTTTTTTCACATTGTGAAAATGTGTTACAACAAATCATATTATTACTGTATTTGGTATAATATTAAAAAAAAATTTATAAAGAATTTTTTAAATATAAAAATAAACAAAAATACATTAATTGTGTTGTGATACATGTGTTGAGGTTGACGATTTAATAAAAACCAATCCCATCCCAGATAAAAAATTTTTGTTTAAAAAATAAATAAAATAACATATTTGTCTTTTCTATCTAGTAACAATTTAAATTTTTTTTAATTCATGCTAATTTTAGAAATGTATCTTGGACAAGTATACATTTAATATTTTTTCAAATATTTTAATAGTTATTAACCATTAATGATTAAATAAAATAATTACCTTAAAGAGGGACTATAAAATTACTAAGTATTTACTAAATACAGATGAGGAGGAGTGTTAAAGAAAATTCACCCGCCTATTATCACACGTCTGCCTTTCCTATATAAAATTCAAATAATGGTTGAGATAAAATTTCAAAAATAATCAGGTACCTGCAAAATATTTTATTATTTGAGAATATAGTATTCAAATCAAAAAATGTAAATAAGAATTTATTCGATCAAATAAAATGGGGAATAAGATAATGAAGTATATAATTGGTATTCACAACTCAAGTTTAAAAAACAGAACAAATATCTTAATTAATATTAACTAATTTAAAATATTCGTCCTCTAGTCGACTCAAGTATATAATTCGTATTCACGACTCAGGTTAGAAGTCTAAAGTAAAAATACAGAACAAATATCTTTATTAATAATAATAACTAATTTGAAATATTCGTCCTCTAGTCGACTCAAGTTCAAGTTAAGATTCATAAGGCTATTGGTGTTTGCGAAGACGATCGCGAGTAGAGTATATTGCTCAAACGATGCAAAATCACATCTGCTGATTATCTATCATCGCAACATGTGTTTTTCACTCGATTTCATAATTTTGCTCAGCGAAAAATTTCGCATCACTACTCAAGTGAATCGCTCTTACTAAAAATAAATTATCACATTAGATAAAATATTTCATAAATATCGACGAAAAATAGATTAATAACATAAATATGGCATAACTAGGTTTCATATTCACTCCACGACTTTTCTCGCGTTATTTTCAATAACGAATGTTCTCGAAGGTTAAGTTTCGTTGGAAATTTTTTTATTTTTACACAACTTACCCTTTTTATTAACTAATTTATTATTATAAATTGTATATAATCGTTTTCTTAAAATACGCTAATATTTACTTTCTATCACCTTTTTTTCCGCCAAATTTCTACTTTATATTTCAATAGATTTCCATTTTAAAAAAGGTTGAAAATATATTCTAAAATTTATATAATATTTGACATTTGACCATACGTTTCCAATTACCGAACTGCAAGTAATTTATTTTAATGCTATGTTTTTATTAATAAGCATTTATTTAAAATATTTTAGATATTCGATATTAACGAAACTATTCGAATCGAGATGTCAAGATCTTAAAATTGTTTCTTATTTAGATTCGAATTTTACATCAAATTAGATATTTAAAACTTATAATGTAACATAGAAGTGCAGAGAATGAAATTCAGGTTGAAAATAATTGGCAAGCATCCAAAATATATAGCTAAAGTATCAAACAAATATTTCCAAGCAACGACTAAAATAACACTACACTAGCAATCTAGAGCAAGGATATCACATTGTTTTTGGACATTATACTATACCAGAACAGGATGCACTAATCCTTTGAAGGAAAAAGTGACTAGAACTTCCAAGACTTGATAATTTAGCTAGGAAAGTACTTTGTCTACCTGTAACCAGTACACCTAGAAAAATAATCTTTTCCATTGTTGAATTAAGACTCAATGCTAAAAGAACCTCCTTATGTCCTATCTAAAAAATAATATTTACATAATTATAATTTAACTATTGATATATAATTTCTCTATAAAAAACGAAACTATATTTAACAATCTTGGAACTAAGAGTGCCCAAATAAATTATAAAAATGTAATACAATAAATTAAAAATAAAATACACTTTTTAAAATATGTAACACCACCACCACCAATTTATTAGGTGGAAGCTAACTTGCATACCAATGAAAATTTTTAAAAACCGCCAAGTAATATTGGGAAAAATTAGATGAAAAAACAGAATTTTGTAAGTCAAGCCAACATATCACACTATATATTTTTCTTAAGGTAATTCTAACATGAGGTGCTATTGAATATTTTACACTCTCCTAGCCAATGAATAATTAATTTAATTGGAATATATTTAAATAACTTTTTTAATATAAATAATTATTGGTAATATGCAAATTTACTATATTACTAATTATTACATAAAAAGAATAAATTTATTATGTTAACTTATTTTTTGGTTTATTATAAATACTTAACTTTGGACTAGTTGTGCACTTTGAATTCAAATAGACATAAATTATTGATCCAAATTGAGTTTAATAGCAAATCTTTAATTTCATCTTGAAGAAATTTTTTATGCATAAATATTACAAAAAATTTACCTAAATTTTTTTTTTACAAGTACTCAAAAGGAAATCATCTATCACACAATTAAATAAATAATACAAAAAAGGAAAAGATATCAAACTTATATTTTGATAATTATATAAAATAAAAATAATTAATATAAAATATTAAATCTTTTCTATTTGTGCACACATAATAAAAAACATTATAAATTCTATATTATATATAATTTTATATTATAATATATGTATATATATAAGAATAAATATATTGTCATATTGGATATTTGTTTGAGGGGGTGGGGGATAGTATAATTGCTTTTCCAACCTTTAGAAAGATAAATCTATACTTTTATTCTTCTAAAACATCACCTATTATAAATAAGTATTTAATCTATCATAATTTTATAATTAAGAGAGCACATATTCAATAATAATTATATAATTAACTACCCAAATTTTCAAATGCTAGTTTTGTATTCCCCCTTGCCAACACTGGTTTTTCCTAGGTAATCCTCTACAATAAACTTATTTCCACAATTATAATATTTTACCTTAATATTTCAAATGTATAACCAATCACTCATATATAATATAACATCTGGTATTAACACCTAAAGAATTGGACCAAGATCCTTAAAACATGGACCTGTCCAATTAAAACTGATGGCATAAATAAAAAGATATTCCGATTTTAAAATATATTTTGGTGCAAGTGTGATAGTGTAGTATTATAAAATAGTAGAGGAAGAGTTTGGTAGTTGTGTATTAGGGGTGAAATTGTGTAGCAGTTGCATTGTAGTAGGGTGAAATAGTTAAAGTGGTGTGGCATGTACCATTGCATCATTTCAGTTTTATGTTTCGTTACAAGTTAAGATATTTTTAGCTAAATTAATTATGTTTCAAGACTATAGTTGGGTAATGGGCAAATGTTGGCTAATTCAGCTCAATCTTCAGGCAATTGCCAGAGAAAATCCTGGTTTAGCAAGCTAAAAAAAAAGGCTTAAATGGCTAAAAATATAATTACCCAATTATAGTCAAGACCAATAATCAATAAACATAAGCAAAACTTATAAATGCTACTTTAAATAAGTTGGATCAGGCAGGTGTACAATTGAAATTAGAAAAATTAGCATTATTTTAAACCAAAGTTATAACACGTAGTGTGGAAGCACTTTTTTTCTAACTAATACAATCCTTACTCAAATATTCCATCCAATACTAAATTATAAATGATTAAGGTTTTTATATAGGTATATAAACTGATTTTACTTGTATGATTTTGGTGTTGACGTCTTTTGGCATTTTTTTCTGATTTTATTTTCCTCTTTTCCTTTTTAGGGAGGAATCGATTGCTTATGTTATTAACAAGTGTTGCATATCTAGGTTATTAGGATAGATAATTTTTTAAATTTTTAGCTATATATTATATTGGATGAAAATATACAAAATTAACTGTTCATTTTCTAAAAAATTGGTATTAAAATTTTAAATATAGAATACAGTTAAAGTTTAAGGCTGTTAAGATTCTCAATTCATATAAAGAAATAATATTAATATTTTGAAGCAATAGATAATTGCTTTGTAGACAAATTTTTTAAAAAATTAGTAAAATAAAAATGAAAGCACAATATAAAGGAAAATTAGTTTTCTTATAAAACTTGACTTTACCTATGAGCCATTGTCTCTTCACTTATTGTTTCATCTATAATTGGTGGCTCCTCCTTTACAGGATTCATACTTTTCTATCATCAAAAAATAGTTTTTCATTTATTAAATAAATTGAACCTCAATTTCAGGGTTGAAGCCCTTATAAGATAGTCTTCCTAATGAGAAATTATAGCAGATCATTAGACTAGATTCAAATAAAACTTTGCACCTTGAATTTAAAAAATTATAATATTTAATAAATAGAATAGCACTCTTTTTCATCTTCAATGCTCTTTGTTATATACAATTGTCTTGTTGCCTCATCTTCCTTAACTTTCGTCCGTTTCATAAACTGTACAAATAAATAAAACGCATATAACTTTATATACAATACCTGCATTTTAAGTAAATTTTTTGAAAGTTTAACCATATTTAGCAGATATATAATCCAGTTATGGATAACTATTGATAAATGTGAAGATTGACAACTTGATGATATCTGATATAAGACAAGTATCAGATATTGTAGTGATAAAATAAAATAATGTTTTTTCTTCCATACAAATAGAGGTTATAATTCGGAAGATTATAGAACAACTACTTCTTTAATAAAAATATCGTGCCTAATTTTTTTAGAAGATGAAGATGCCACTTTGTAATCTGATAGGAAAAGATAGTAGGAAGTAGATATATTAGTTAATTTTCAGTTCCGTTAAAAGTAGAATAGGAGTGTATCATCATTATTTACCTATTATTGTAATTGTTTAACGTATCACAACTAGTTTTATTTCGGCTTTTGTCGATCAATTGTTATTGATTATTTGCTTATTATCATTATTTATAACTTTATCATTATTTTCTTAGTGGTTCCGAAGTGAATTAGATTTTCGATTCGATTCACGTTTTAATTTTAGCATTATATTGTAGTAATTCATTCAAAAGTTTTCGTTTCTGCTGAAGCTGTTTAACCTAATTATATAAAGGAAAAATTGATAAAGTCTACATTTTAAGCATTTTACTAGCCAATAAAATTTTATGTTTCCGCGTTCTGTAACTTATCAAACCTTCTAGTCTTTTTAAATTTAAAATGATATTAAGTGGTTTACCTGGGGTTTCCCAGTCTCCCTTATTACATATTCACATATTTTTTTATATCTATACTAGGAGCTAATCCGTAGAATAACTGGTAAATCAGAGATTTCCCCTTCACTTGATGTAACTATTCAGGGCTTGAGAAAAAAACAAAATTATTCTGGGTTAGACCAGGGTTAAGAAAAATTTTTTAAAATTATTATGAGCTGAGCTAAGAATAAGAAAATTTTTTTAAATTAATTTGGGCCAGGTTTGGGGAAATTATTTTAAAATTAATCGATTGGACTTTACCTGAAGAGGAAGAAAGGTAAAAATAATAAAAATTGGAAATGGTTTTTAATAAAATGTAACATCTATCGTAAAATAAAGGAAAGAATTCTCATTCCCCGTCATTTTTAACGGGCTATGTACGTCTTATATATTTATTATCAGCAACTACGTTGCAATATATAGATATTTCAATTTTAATATTGAATTATCTATAATACAAGTAATAAAATATTTTTATTTTATCCTAGGTAAAAAATTTGCCACTACAAGATAAATAATTACCTAAAAGAGGGACTATAAAATTACTAAGTATTTACTAAATACAGATGAGGAGGAGTGTTAAAGAAAATTCACCCGCCTATTATCACACGTCTGCCTTTCCTATATAAAATTCAAATAATGGTTGAGATAAAATTTCAAAAATAATCAGGTACCTGCAAAATATTTTATTATTTGAGAATATAGTATTCAAATCAAAAAATGTAAATAAGAATTTATTCGATCAAATAAAATGGGGAATAAGATAATGAAGTATATAATTGGTATTCACAACTCAAGTTTAAAAAACAGAACAAATATCTTAATTAATATTAACTAATTTAAAATATTCGTCCTCTAGTCGACTCAAGTATATAATTCGTATTCACGACTCAGGTTAGAAGTCTAAAGTAAAAATACAGAACAAATATCTTTATTAATAATAATAACTAATTTGAAATATTCGTCCTCTAGTCGACTCAAGTTCAAGTTAAGATTCATAAGGCTATTGGTGTTTGCGAAGACGATCGCGAGTAGAGTATATTGCTCAAACGATGCAAAATCACATCTGCTGATTATCTATCATCGCAACATGTGTTTTTCACTCGATTTCATAATTTTGCTCAGCGAAAAATTTCGCATCACTACTCAAGTGAATCGCTCTTACTAAAAATAAATTATCACATTAGATAAAATATTTCATAAATATCGACGAAAAATAGATTAATAACATAAATATGGCATAACTAGGTTTCATATTCACCCCACGACTTTTCTCAAGTTAAGATTCATAAGGCTATTGGTGTTTGCGAAGACGATCGCGAGTAGAGTATATTGCTCAAACGATGCAAAATCACATCTGCTGATTATCTATCATCGCAACATGTGTTTTTCACTCGATTTCATAATTTTGCTCAGCGAAAAATTTCGCATCACTACTCAAGTGAATCGCTCTTACTAAAAATAAATTATCACATTAGATAAAATATTTCATAAATATCGACGAAAAATAGATTAATAACATAAATATGGCATAACTAGGTTTCATATTCACTCCACGACTTTTCTCGCGTTATTTTCAATAACGAATGTTCTCGAAGGTTAAGTTTCGTTGGAAATTTTTTTATTTTTACACAACTTACCCTTTTTATTAACTAATTTATTATTATAAATTGTATATAATCGTTTTCTTAAAATACGCTAATATTTACTTTCTATCACCTTTTTTTCCGCCAAATTTCTACTTTATATTTCAATAGATTTCCATTTTAAAAAAGGTTGAAAATATATTCTAAAATTTATATAATATTTGACATTTGACCATACGTTTCCAATTACCGAACTGCAAGTAATTTATTTTAATGCTATGTTTTTATTAATAAGCATTTATTTAAAATATTTTAGATATTCGATATTAACGAAACTATTCGAATCGAGATGTCAAGATCTTAAAATTGTTTCTTATTTAGATTCGAATTTTACATCAAATTAGATATTTAAAACTTATAATGTAACATAGAAGTGCAGAGAATGAAATTCAGGTTGAAAATAATTGGCAAGCATCCAAAATATATAGCTAAAGTATCAAACAAATATTTCCAAGCAACGACTAAAATAACACTACACTAGCAATCTAGAGCAAGGATATCACATTGTTTTTGGACATTATACTATACCAGAACAGGATGCACTAATCCTTTGAAGGAAAAAGTGACTAGAACTTCCAAGACTTGATAATTTAGCTAGGAAAGTACTTTGTCTACCTGTAACCAGTACACCTAGAAAAATAATCTTTTCCATTGTTGAATTAAGACTCAATGCTAAAAGAACCTCCTTATGTCCTATCTAAAAAATAATATTTACATAATTATAATTTAACTATTGATATATAATTTCTCTATAAAAAACGAAACTATATTTAACAATCTTGGAACTAAGAGTGCCCAAATAAATTATAAAAATGTAATACAATAAATTAAAAATAAAATACACTTTTTAAAATATGTAACACCACCACCACCAATTTATTAGGTGGAAGCTAACTTGCATACCAATGAAAATTTTTAAAAACCGCCAAGTAATATTGGGAAAAATTAGATGAAAAAACAGAATTTTGTAAGTCAAGCCAACATATCACACTATATATTTTTCTTAAGGTAATTCTAACATGAGGTGCTATTGAATATTTTACACTCTCCTAGCCAATGAATAATTAATTTAATTGGAATATATTTAAATAACTTTTTTAATATAAATAATTATTGGTAATATGCAAATTTACTATATTACTAATTATTACATAAAAAGAATAAATTTATTATGTTAACTTATTTTTTGGTTTATTATAAATACTTAACTTTGGACTAGTTGTGCACTTTGAATTCAAATAGACATAAATTATTGATCCAAATTGAGTTTAATAGCAAATCTTTAATTTCATCTTGAAGAAATTTTTTATGCATAAATATTACAAAAAATTTACCTAAATTTTTTTTTTACAAGTACTCAAAAGGAAATCATCTATCACACAATTAAATAAATAATACAAAAAAGGAAAAGATATCAAACTTATATTTTGATAATTATATAAAATAAAAATAATTAATATAAAATATTAAATCTTTTCTATTTGTGCACACATAATAAAAAACATTATAAATTCTATATTATATATAATTTTATATTATAATATATGTATATATATAAGAATAAATATATTGTCATATTGGATATTTGTTTGAGGGGGTGGGGGATAGTATAATTGCTTTTCCAACCTTTAGAAAGATAAATCTATACTTTTATTCTTCTAAAACATCACCTATTATAAATAAGTATTTAATCTATCATAATTTTATAATTAAGAGAGCACATATTCAATAATAATTATATAATTAACTACCCAAATTTTCAAATGCTAGTTTTGTATTCCCCCTTGCCAACACTGGTTTTTCCTAGGTAATCCTCTACAATAAACTTATTTCCACAATTATAATATTTTACCTTAATATTTCAAATGTATAACCAATCACTCATATATAATATAACATCTGGTATTAACACCTAAAGAATTGGACCAAGATCCTTAAAACATGGACCTGTCCAATTAAAACTGATGGCATAAATAAAAAGATATTCCGATTTTAAAATATATTTTGGTGCAAGTGTGATAGTGTAGTATTATAAAATAGTAGAGGAAGAGTTTGGTAGTTGTGTATTAGGGGTGAAATTGTGTAGCAGTTGCATTGTAGTAGGGTGAAATAGTTAAAGTGGTGTGGCATGTACCATTGCATCATTTCAGTTTTATGTTTCGTTACAAGTTAAGATATTTTTAGCTAAATTAATTATGTTTCAAGACTATAGTTGGGTAATGGGCAAATGTTGGCTAATTCAGCTCAATCTTCAGGCAATTGCCAGAGAAAATCCTGGTTTAGCAAGCTAAAAAAAAAGGCTTAAATGGCTAAAAATATAATTACCCAATTATAGTCAAGACCAATAATCAATAAACATAAGCAAAACTTATAAATGCTACTTTAAATAAGTTGGATCAGGCAGGTGTACAATTGAAATTAGAAAAATTAGCATTATTTTAAACCAAAGTTATAACACGTAGTGTGGAAGCACTTTTTTTCTAACTAATACAATCCTTACTCAAATATTCCATCCAATACTAAATTATAAATGATTAAGGTTTTTATATAGGTATATAAACTGATTTTACTTGTATGATTTTGGTGTTGACGTCTTTTGGCATTTTTTTCTGATTTTATTTTCCTCTTTTCCTTTTTAGGGAGGAATCGATTGCTTATGTTATTAACAAGTGTTGCATATCTAGGTTATTAGGATAGATAATTTTTTAAATTTTTAGCTATATATTATATTGGATGAAAATATACAAAATTAACTGTTCATTTTCTAAAAAATTGGTATTAAAATTTTAAATATAGAATACAGTTAAAGTTTAAGGCTGTTAAGATTCTCAATTCATATAAAGAAATAATATTAATATTTTGAAGCAATAGATAATTGCTTTGTAGACAAATTTTTTAAAAAATTAGTAAAATAAAAATGAAAGCACAATATAAAGGAAAATTAGTTTTCTTATAAAACTTGACTTTACCTATGAGCCATTGTCTCTTCACTTATTGTTTCATCTATAATTGGTGGCTCCTCCTTTACAGGATTCATACTTTTCTATCATCAAAAAATAGTTTTTCATTTATTAAATAAATTGAACCTCAATTTCAGGGTTGAAGCCCTTATAAGATAGTCTTCCTAATGAGAAATTATAGCAGATCATTAGACTAGATTCAAATAAAACTTTGCACCTTGAATTTAAAAAATTATAATATTTAATAAATAGAATAGCACTCTTTTTCATCTTCAATGCTCTTTGTTATATACAATTGTCTTGTTGCCTCATCTTCCTTAACTTTCGTCCGTTTCATAAACTGTACAAATAAATAAAACGCATATAACTTTATATACAATACCTGCATTTTAAGTAAATTTTTTGAAAGTTTAACCATATTTAGCAGATATATAATCCAGTTATGGATAACTATTGATAAATGTGAAGATTGACAACTTGATGATATCTGATATAAGACAAGTATCAGATATTGTAGTGATAAAATAAAATAATGTTTTTTCTTCCATACAAATAGAGGTTATAATTCGGAAGATTATAGAACAACTACTTCTTTAATAAAAATATCGTGCCTAATTTTTTTAGAAGATGAAGATGCCACTTTGTAATCTGATAGGAAAAGATAGTAGGAAGTAGATATATTAGTTAATTTTCAGTTCCGTTAAAAGTAGAATAGGAGTGTATCATCATTATTTACCTATTATTGTAATTGTTTAACGTATCACAACTAGTTTTATTTCGGCTTTTGTCGATCAATTGTTATTGATTATTTGCTTATTATCATTATTTATAACTTTATCATTATTTTCTTAGTGGTTCCGAAGTGAATTAGATTTTCGATTCGATTCACGTTTTAATTTTAGCATTATATTGTAGTAATTCATTCAAAAGTTTTCGTTTCTGCTGAAGCTGTTTAACCTAATTATATAAAGGAAAAATTGATAAAGTCTACATTTTAAGCATTTTACTAGCCAATAAAATTTTATGTTTCCGCGTTCTGTAACTTATCAAACCTTCTAGTCTTTTTAAATTTAAAATGATATTAAGTGGTTTACCTGGGGTTTCCCAGTCTCCCTTATTACATATTCACATATTTTTTTATATCTATACTAGGAGCTAATCCGTAGAATAACTGGTAAATCAGAGATTTCCCCTTCACTTGATGTAACTATTCAGGGCTTGAGAAAAAAACAAAATTATTCTGGGTTAGACCAGGGTTAAGAAAAATTTTTTAAAATTATTATGAGCTGAGCTAAGAATAAGAAAATTTTTTTAAATTAATTTGGGCCAGGTTTGGGGAAATTATTTTAAAATTAATCGATTGGACTTTACCTGAAGAGGAAGAAAGGTAAAAATAATAAAAATTGGAAATGGTTTTTAATAAAATGTAACATCTATCGTAAAATAAAGAAAGAATTCTCATTCCCCGTCATTTTTAACGGGCTATGTACGTCTTATATATTTATTATCAGCAACTACGTTGCAATATATAGATATTTCAATTTTAATATTGAATTATCTATAATACAAGTAATAAAATATTTTTATTTTATCCTAGGTAAAAAATTTGCCACTACAAGATAAATAAGTGACTAATAGTAGGCATAAGTTTAATAAAAGAGAAAAGCAACTGCCTATAACATTTTGATTTTTACCAGGTTAATATCAAAATTTATAAACTAAAATAATTTTAATAAAAAATATTTATTAACATTCTAATTAGTATAATTTGATATTTAAAAAATTGAATATGGTTATTTATCCGAACGAATTTAACGAGAATCATCTTGTGTCCGGATATACCCCAAGCCCTGTGTATTCCTGGACATAACCGATATTTTTGAACAAATTTTTATTGGCTTTATTTTAATAGAAAATGATTTTAAAATCGCAAAGTTTATTAATGAATTTTATTATGAATCCTCTAGATTTCGTTATAAGATTACCCAAGCCTATCTGGCATCGAAATCGAATTCTTAATAGTAAGATTAAAAATCCTATCTTACTAAATATTTCGTTTAATAATGTGCTCATTTGAAAGAGTTATAAAATCACTTATCAAAGCGCCTATCAGCTAAAAGAGCCCCAAAGCAACAATTTTAAGGGCTTTTCGATCAAATAACGGAAGGTTTTAAATTTATATGCTATTTATTTAATATTCACATATTCCTGGTTATGACTTGAAGGATGATTATAACATTATCGGCTCTGATTAAGTTATTATTATATTTTTTTTTAAATTTGGAAAAAATTACAGGAAAATTTCCCAAAATATAATTTGGACTATATTCAAAAAAAATAAACATGGATTTGTCATTTAAAACTTTGATCCAGAAAATGTTATCATAAGCTTTCTTTCATTAAAGGAACAGAGTGCCATAATAAATAAATAATTGGTGAAAATTATATACTATAAATAACTACCAGTAGTACAACGCTATTTCATAACTCACACAATTTACCAACACAATTCTAAAAACTAACAAGTTTACAACTCCAAATTTTATTAGCCAACTAAATATAAAACTACAAAAAATATAACAAAAATGTTAAAAAGTGATTAAATAATATAAAATCTCGTCCCTTTTATTTATTTTTTGGGACATAAAAATTACGAGTTCTACACGTGATTTATAAAATCACGCGACTATTTATAGATATGATAAATAATAAACAAAATATACTTTTTAAAAATAAATAATTTTAAATAATAATATTTACAAATATGACAAAATCGAAAATAGGAGTCTAGTATATTTATAAAAATTAATAGAACAAATATAGCATATTTTGTATACTTCGCCTTGAGATTCGTGCCAACTATGAAAACAGGATAACCTCCCATTCACATTTTGGGCGAATTCGCGGCGGAGGTTACAAAAAATAAATTCGACAATTCGCGCTAACTATGAGTGGATTAGTAAAACATTCGATGAATTTTTTTAAAAAATTTGCACAGATTATGAATATAAATTTCAATTTTTTAAAAAAAAAATAAAATATAATCTATGAAATATGATCACGATTCATTATTTATTTTCCCGTATAAAAAAAATAGATTAATTTATAGATTTTTATCAAAGTAGTTTAATTGAAAAAGAGGGTAGTCAGCTGGGTTCAGATCAGATCTTAGAAAACTACAAATTCACTAAAATCGACTTAGTTAGAGCGGTCCGATGGACAATAATCAATGCCACGCGAAGTGATAACCATAACCGCCCAATAAATTTTGAGTTATTTTATTTTTTTAAATAATCAAATATTTATTATTTATAGATGATAAATAAGCACTTAAAAAAATTTGACAAACAACGATTTATATAAAACATCAATCTAATTCACATCCTTTATTTAATAATTTTTGACAAGCTTTCGATTCTCGCATTCGTGTGTCAGCGTCGAATACCCAACAAATTTGTGATCTAAATAAAATTATTAATGGATTATAGATTACTTAAAAATAAAATTATGTTTATAAATTTATTAATAAATCTAAAATAATCCGATTTATGATAATAAATATAATTTTTTAAAAAATATTAAAAAAACTTTGGTGGTTTTCCCTCGAAAAAATTTTTTTTTTATTTATTTTCAAAGGGCAATATTTATTACACCAGAGTTTGATGAAATGATCTTCAAAATAAAAATTCAAAAGTTTTTGATCCCCCCAAAGAAAGAAGATATTTTCAATTTGAATATTTTTTTTAAGAATGCTCGAACAGGATTTTGGTTCCAAATCTTATTTTGTAAATCTCTTTCATGACTTTTAGGCACCTAAATCTTTTGGAAGGAAATCATAATTTTTTTTTGATCTAAAAAAAGTTAGCAATTTTATGATTCTTCAAAAGATTTTTTTGTCCAAAATTAACTTCAAATAAAAAAATAATTAGTGATTTCAACATTGAAAGTTTTTATTATGATGAAAATTACAAAAAAAAAAAATATTTACTATTTTTAGGAAAAGATTTTGATCAAAAAATTTTAAATTTTTTGAAGATTATTATTTTTTTTCAAACTCTGCTTTGTAATAAACAAGGTTTTCTTACCGTGGTTAACGTTGTGTACGGATTTTGAAAAAACGTTCGAATTCCATATGGCGACTTTTATATTATGAAATAAATGTGATCATTATTTAATATTAAATGAAATTTAATTTTATACGTATATAAAAAAAGGTAAACCAAGCATGTTTTTTTTGAGAGCGCCAAAAAATATTTTACATATTTGAATAGTTAGTTAGATCGTGATTGGTCAATTCGAAAATCAGATCTTATTATTCGGCACACTTAATAATCACTTAAATTTTTTTTAAACTCAATTTCTTTGTTTTCATCAATCTCGTTATTTACTCTTCATATAAGTCTTTTTCCATCAAAGATCAAACCTGCCTTATAACTTTTCAAGTACATATACAAATAAAATAATTTTATAATTCCACGAAATAAATAAAACGATGGAATTATGCTCGTTTAAATGCGATAATTAGAAAAATGTTTCATTTTCAACATTTAACGTAAAAAACTTTTTTCCCGTTAACGCATGGATCGCCTATCGAAGAACATATCGCTGATTTTGGGCCGGAAACGATTCTTGACGTAGTATTGTCTAAGGCACACAAAAATTTCTCTATCTTAACTCCCAATTCTTTTCGAAACGCGTCATGCATGACGACCGTAACCATGTCATCTGTCATATCCTTGCGGTTTTCGTGGATCGCGTAATTCTCATTTTTCGTTACTCTCTCTGGAGGAGTTTTTAACAAATAGGCGTATCCGTACTTGTAGGCTAAAACGACTTTAGCTCTTTGAGTGTACCAATCGAAATGGGTAGTTTTAAGACCGGAAGCGTAGCATATCTGATCGGATATTCTGCCGACACTCAAAGCCGATTCCCATATATTAGATGGAGTGGATGATGATATGAGTAGCGCCTAATGACAAAAATTAACAAATGACATTTTAGATATAGAGCGGGTTTTTTTAGATAAAATAATAAAACTGCAATTATATTAATTTAATGTTTATATTTTTCCTGTGATCATTTAAATAACCTGAGGTAATTTTTGTAAGTAGGGAACAAGCATTTCCAAACGAAATACAATATTTTCACTGATAAATTTTGGAGATAACGTTCTTGATAATATTTTTTTTTTTTAAATGGATGTATGAATTTAAAAATCTTTAAGTGGATAATTTTGGTAGCCGTTATTGCCTTTAGCCCAAATCATACGTGATAAGAAAGTAAAATCCTATACTCCGCAAGTTTTCAGAATAGTCTCAATCCCCTCCCCCCTCCGCCCTTCCCATCTCTCAATTCTCAACCGAAAAAAGGCCCGATAGTGCTATACTTACTGGCTGGGAGAGGGTTAGTGATAATGCGTGTCGAGCAAACGGTAAGCGGAAAATAATTCCTCAGAAAAAAAATCCAAAGAAAAAATATCCCCTGGAAGATAGTTACCCGGAAATAAATTCCCAATTTTCTAGATTTTAAATTAAATATAGGGGAAAATAAATCTCCGGAAAAAAAAAATTTCCCGAATAATTTTTTTTTAAATTATCAAAAACCGCCGCTAAAATAACGAAACTATTTCTAAAAAAAATCATATTCAATATTTTCTGAACGTTGAGTATTTATTCTAAAGTTTGAGGATAATTTTTTGAGCATTTTTTCTGTTTTAATTCTAAGCTTACAATCTTAAAGTATGAGAATTGATAAATAGGTTAGTAGACCTAATACTTTATAATTTAGTAGATAGCATAAAAAAAACAATTACATATAATAATACCTAGACTAAGGATGTATTCATAAGTGTACATCAATGAAAAACAGCTGGGGACGCCATTTTTATTACCCGTATCATTATTTAAAAATTTTAAACGAGAGGCCAATTTATTCCTATGCCTGACGCGAACTTTATTAAAGAATTGCCTGGTAGATAATAAGGAAGCAAGTTATCAATTTAATAGTATCTTTTAACATGAGAATAATTGCTATATGGGTTACCAAAATGGCGGATTCAGCTGATTTGTATTCAACGACGCTTTCGAATGCATTATTACGAATGCGTTGTCGGTCTAGGTATCATTTATTATATGTCATTGATAAAAAAACGTATGTATTTGTGACATCTTGGGAAAAGGAAAACATGATAGATTTTTTTTATAGAAATAGATGAAAATTAAGGAAGAGATTTTACAATTTAAAATTGAAATAAAAAAAGTGGAATAAGAGAGTTATTTTTGTAATCTACTTTTCATATAGTTTTCCAATAGATATCATGAAAACAGATCATTTAACCACATTTTATTTATCATGAAGAGGAAGAGGGGGGGGAGTATTTCCAACTCACATGCTACTAAGGCTAAAAAATGCATATAACATTAAATATGAATATTATAACAACTATTCTGTTCCGTATATTTATATCATCAGTCTGAATCGCGGACAAAAATAACGAAATGGAAATTTATTATGTCAAAACTATTCGATTTTTAAAAATTGTATCTGATTACAAAATTTCCAAAAAAAAGTATCGATTTAAATCACTGATTTACAAAGGGGCTTATTTTTAAAAATGGTTGAAAACCTTAATCCAAAGACTAACTTTCGAAATAATTAAATGCTACCCAAAAAATATACATTTTTATTTTTATAAATATTATCATTTTAAATATATTATTATTATAATCTTAAAATAGAAATTGATTTTATTTGTAAAATTTTCAACTCCAGAAATGTTATTACATATTCATTCCGAAGTTTGTTTCCTTTATATCATTCTTATTCATAATATTGAGAGGAAAGTATATGTTCATGTCAAAAATAAGAATATATAAATTTATATCTTTGTGTGGCATATATTGTTTGCAATTTTGAATCAAACCATTCTCATTTAGTTATTTTAATACTTTTTTTTATATAAAATTTACTTTTACTTTAACCATTTTAAATATTTTTTGGTAATTTTAATAAAAAAATTTTTTTAAATATATTTTATTCTTCCGTTTTAAATAAGCACGCTAAAATTTTTCATGAAGGCTATTCCTACCATTATCAAAAAAAAACTACGATAAATTTTTTAAAAGATACAAATGTACATTATATAATACTTAATAAACCCCTAAAAAAAATTCAAACTAAACAACAAACAAAATCTACCTACACAAATCCTAGAGACTAACTCAACGCTTCTAAAATAAAACAACAAATCCTAGAGACTAACCCAACACTTTTAAAAGAAAAACAAATTTATTTTCGATAATATCAATAATAATATCAATAATTTTTCCGTTTTCGAAATTAATTCCACAAAAAAAATAATAATAATCTAATATCAAATCAATATTATATAACTACCATATTACATAAAAAAACACGTGATTATGAGTGACGTGTTATAATATATACTATATATATTTATAGGTACAATTAAATCTAATGTAAAAAAAAATATATAATGTAAACGTATTTACGAATACAATACTGAAAAAAATGCCCAGTTATTTTGAAATATTACAGTGATAATGATTATTCATTGGAAAATATACCTCATATTCATCCTATAAACTCACATGAATATAAAATTGAACATGCTATGAAGACTATGAAAAGAAAAACCTCTGAAACAAATCAAAATACTTGCCAAATATACGCAGAAGAAATGTCTAAATTATCTCCCGAATCCAGAAAAAGGCTTCAAGCGTACACTTAGAAATCCTAAAATAAAGAGGTTTCCTCCTATTCCGACCACATTGGAAGAATTAAGCATTTCATGTTAAATCATTATTTAAGCCTATAAATAACTTGTTATTTTTTTAAAAAATATCTTTTAATATTAGAGGATTGGGCTACAACAGGATCTTCCATGAACGAGAGATTTCTATTGCATGATAATGGCGGAGATGGAGACAATTTTAGACATTTCTTCCGAGTATATTTGGCAAGTATTTCGATTTGTTTCAGAGGCCTCTCTTTTCATAGTGTTTATAGCATTTTCAATATTATATTCATGTGGGTTTATAAGATGAATATGAGGCATATTTTTCCAACGAATAATCATTTTCATCGCAATATTTCAAAATAACTGGGCATTTTTTAAGCATTATACAATGTGCATTTATATCTTTTAAAACTTATCGTAGTTTTATGATAATAGTAGGAATAGCCTTCATGAAAATATTTTAGCAAAATTAAAAATATTTAAAATGGTAAAAGTAAATTTTTTAAAAATTATTAAAAAAAACAAATTGAAAATTGTTTGATTAAAAATTGCAAACAATATATACCACCCAAATATATAAATTTATTTATTTTTATTCTTGAACATAACTTTCCTTCCAGCGCTATAAATAATAATAATAATATCCAGGAACAAACTGGGATTATGTAATAACTTTTCCCTAGGCCAACTATATATTTGAAAGCAATTGTGAAAAGCCTCTTATCTCCAACTGATTTAAATTATTAATATTGATAGAAAAACATGGTTTTAGCTAAAGTTTAAAAACTAAAAAAAAAAAAGGTTTTTAATTTTACTTCATATTTTACCCTATCATTACATTATAATTGAACATATCTAAATTTTAAAGTTTATATAGTATTATAAAAAAAATATAAATTTGAATATAAAATAAAATGAAATAAGTTAGTAAAATTAGCGATATATTTTATATAAGGTTATTCGAATATTATAATTATTATAAATTATTTTAATTAATATTATATTTAATTTTAATTATTTTATTATATTGTATAACAAATATATTTCTAAAAAAACTTGATGGAAATGATTGATAATTTGTGTAAAAATAAATATTTCTTTAAAAAATTAAAATTTGATTTTCAATAAATATCTAAAAGTTGATAAAAAATAAGGTGAACTAGATATATTTAACTTTCGTTTTATTATGTAAAACTTGAAAATCTTCGAGAAAAAAACGTTTTGATTTTAATTAAAGTGGTGCCAAATTCCGGGTTAAAAAAAATGTTACGAATTCATAAATCCTGGCCAAAAAAATAAAAAAATCTGGACTGGCCATTGTCATTACTTAGCTTATAATAAATATTTTGGTTAATAATAACATAGACTAGGTATAATCCAATCCGTTTATTTTAAAAAAATATTGTTTTGTTTAATTTTCTTCACCAAACCAGGGTTCGGGATAAGGCCATGGTTAGGGTTAATTAATAATAATTTAAATAATTTGGTTAGGTTTAATATTAATTACTAGTTATTATCCATAATTTTGTTTAGCAATTTTATTTGGAAAATTATAAAGTATTATTTTGTTGATATTCTCAAAAAAAATTGTTAAAATTTTATTTGGTGATGTTTTTTTTTACCTTTTATTTTGTTAATATTTCTAAAAAATAATTTAATATTTTATTAGGATCAAAAACAAAGGGGGAAATTATTTTCTGTGGGAATTTCTTTTTCCTGGTGGAATTACTTTCCAAGTGAATTTTTTTTTCCCGAGAATTAATTTCCGGTTACCATGCATTATCATTAATTAGTGTTGTTAAACGGCTCGTTTTAAGCCGATTTTTAAAAACGGCTAACTCAATATTTTAGCCAGAAAAATATTGCCTAAGTCTCAAGATTTCGCTAATAAATGTCCAAACCTTTGTTCCTTCTACAAACAAAATCTTCAGGCTTGCGTAAGATTATTCTAGATGAAATATTGAGTTAGCCGTTTTTAAAAATCGGCTCTAAACGAGCCGTTAAACAACACAAATCGTTATAAATATATATATAAATCATATTCATAAAATGGCAGCCGTGGAAATTACAGATTTCTGAACTGAGGCGCGGAAATTTGAGGTTAGAACTGACTTGGGCGGAGAAAAAAAATTAGGGTCAATTTTTATTTTTTAGACGCAAAGTAGGGTTTTCCCGATAAAAACCAAACGGATTATCTTAGGGCTTCTATAAGAAATAAAATATAAATTCGGGATTCCCTCAAATCTTATCATTTCATGTAGAGCATTTGGATAACCAAGATATGGGGGGGGGGCGGAAAATAACCCCCCACCCCCCTTTGGAAATTTGTCTGTTCTAGAAAATATCATTTTAAAGCCAATAAATCTTTCTCCCTACATATCCCCACGTCCTTCTCTCTCACACAAAAAAAAGGTTTTTAAAAAATGACTTCGGTTCGGGAAAAATATTATGCCCGAATCGAACTTAAATGGCCCACAAATAAATTTAATTTCGGGTCGGGCTTTTTGGGACAAATAAAAAAAAAATCGAGCTGGGCCAGGTTTGAAAAATTAAGCCCGATAACAGTAAACAATTATTTGAAAGAAAATAACATGTGAAAGTTAATAATTTTTTTTATGACTTCAATTCAAAAAAAAAAGAAAACCCTTATTATATATAAAATTTAATATGGCCAAAAGGCCTATAGTAAATGAAAAAACCAACCTAATGATGCCACCCCACCCCTTCACCTTTAGCAAAATCCTGGCTAAGCCTATGATGTAGACAGTTTAGAGATAAATATCTCCATATTTTAGTTTTTTTTCTTCCTTCAAGTATATCCATCAGGAATGAATATAATTACTCAAAAATTGTAATTAATTCCTAATTATTATTACTTGTATCTCTTCTCTTCTCTTTCGTATTTAATTATAAATGCTAATTCCTTTTCTAGAAAGGGCAATTAATTACCAATTACATGTAATCAATTTTCTAGGATAATTATAATTACCTATTTACACTTTCTTTAAAAATAGAATGAAAGTAGGTGATGAAAGATCATAAAAAAATGAGAAACTTTGTTAAATGGTTTATAATATAATTATAGTAATCTTATTTTTTTATTACAATTTTTTATGTTTGAAAAATATAAAGGTTTTATTCATTGAAAAGTACAATATCATTAAGGCATTGCATATAAATTTTCATAAACATTATATTTATTTGATGTCAAACTCGGATAGAATATCATTTATGATGTATAAATTTAAATAGATATTAAGTGCATTAACATTTGAAGTTCCCATTCAATAAAAAAATGTACTTTTTTTTAAAGGTATTTCAAACAGTTTGTTATTTAAGCGTGTTATAATAATTATTTAGCAAAGTGAAAATTTTAAAGGTCAGTATAGGAAAAAAAACAATCTGGTGATTCAAGCAAGAGAGACAAAGGTATAAATGTAAAAAAGGTAGACACATTAATGTAATTTGTGGAAAGATTGTTGTGAGGAAATTATCTAAGTATATGAGTTGCCAGAAGGTTATAAAGATTCTAAAAAAGAAAATGTTGAGGTAGATGAGATACTGAAGATGATATGAAGGAGAGTAATGACAAATAAACATGGTACTTGATGATTTCATAAATCTAAAAGGTTACATAATCAAACTGTGGTATGTAGCAAGTGGAGGTATAAAAATTAAACTTTTTAGACAAAAAAAATGAAAATAAAATATTTTTTGTTTAAGCAAATTATTTACTTATTAACTTCTAATTTTTTAGTCTTTAATTCAATTAATAAATTTTCATCACATTTATTATTGAAATATTTAATAAGATCATATCCACCCTTTTGAAAAAGACCCTCAATTGTACTTGGAAGTCCTAAAGATAAGGCCCCTTAATTAAATATAAAATATATATGTTATAAAATATTTTACCTTTAATAATGGCATTCCTTGACCATCCAAATTCATTTACATATTGCAGGGACATATCTAATATATCAGGTTTGATATTTGTGTCATGTTTATTTTCCCTTCAAGCTTATATTTAAAACTTTTACATTTAAAAAAGAAAATATACATATGGTCAGAAAGGTTTGAATCGTTGTTAGACTCAATAGTAGTGTAACCTCGATAGGTGAAATGCCTTCTACCTAATGATTTATCAAAAATTAATAATCAAAAATAAATAAATACCATTTCTTGAAAGGTATTTTAAAGATTTTCTCAACATGTGTAAATATGAATGAGTGAATAAAAATATTTATCAATGTATAGCTCAAAGAGATAAATTTTATAATTAATAAGTTATTTATATATACATAACACATAAATCACATATAACTATTTATGGTACAATGTTTCTTCCTATCTCAAGAATCAAGTCAAGTTTTATTACTTTTAATCATATCTTTATTTATAGATATTCCTATCAATCTAACATCTTATCTTCACCATTACTACATCAATAAAATTGACAGAAGAAACTTAATTAACTGTTAACTTGGAACACTATAAATCACTATTTTTTTGCCATCCCTACAATCCTCGTCAAATTTACAATTTCAGAATTTATAGTCTTATCTATATAAAAAAAAATTTATAAACCACAATTAAGTAGAATATCAGGTAACATTATATATATATATATTCCTCAAACATCTTCAAATCACTAATCACTAAAAATAACTCACCTTTTATTTTTCCTTTCCTTAAACAAATTCATAAGCGTAGCCGGGGGGGGTTAAGAGAAATTCAACCCACCCCCTTCAGAAATTTATCACTTTTTATAAATATCATTTTAAGCTGATAAAAAATATCTACCTTAGTCCTCCCCACACTCCCTGACCCCTATAAATGTATGCATATATCTTAAATATACCTACAAAAATACGAATCGAATAATGGAATTATTCGTATTCGTTTAAATCGAATAATTTATTATTAGTATTCGTATGAATAATAAAATGATTATTCGATTCGATTCGTCGAATATTCGATTCGATTCGAAAATTTTATTTACCATGAATTAAAAAAAGATCTATTATAAAATTTATTTTGTAAAATTTAACTAAGGATAAATACAAACAAATTTTATTAGTGAGACAAAATAGAAGCATACATATATAATATATTTATATACAATGTGGAAAAATCAATATAATATTCATATCTATAATGTAGAAGATAAATCTGACAACAGCCAATTTTTCAAACATAAAGTTTTTCGGATAGTTTCCTCCTTTAACGACATTCTGTATTTTGTAACCATATGAGCTCCAACAGAAAAGAGTCGCTCACATGGGTTTGAAGATCCCTGTATCGACAATATGTCCCTCGCCATTTTAGATAACACGGGAAAACGGTCTCCATGTAGTTTCCACCATTCTAGTGGGTTTTTATTTGACGTTATTCTCACTTCTTTCAAATATGTGTCAATTTCAGAAATTGGCATAACATTCTGTTTAAAAATGACATCCATATTTGATTGTATTAAAGGTTTAATTTTTGATACATCATATTTAATTTTATATTCATCAAACATTTTCTTAAAATTATTAAATATAGTTGTAACGTTTATATTATAAGATATAGGTAGGCACTCAAAAAATTCCAGTTTAAGTCTTGGATCTAATATTGCAGATATAATTGTTTGGAAATCTGTTAAATTATAATATGATACTATTTTTTGTTGCGCATTAATTGCGTTTATAAGCGTATTATCAAAGAGACTTAGGTGCTCAATTAATGATATATAAAAGGGGATGACCAGATTAAGTGTAGGATATGTTTCTCCTGATATGGCAACAGTAAAATCATAAAATGTTTTTAAGTTTAAATGTATTCTTTCTAAGGCGGTCCATTCATCCTATATTAAAAAATAAAAATTAGATTTAAATATAAATAAATACTTCACTAAGTTGTTTCTCTTGAATAATAGATATATCATAATTATTAATAACGACATGATCTATAGCTTTTCTCATTTGTATTGCTCGTTCTATCATAGAATATGAGCTGTTCAATCTGATAGGTGTATCTAATTTTAACTTCAAATATGTAATAGATGGAATTTGTGAATTACAAAATTCTTTCATCATAGTAGTTTTCTTATAAGAATTTCGAATGCTTTTTTACTGCCTCTTAATTTTATTAATTGTTCATCAATTTGTTTTATTATTTCTTGAACAACAAGATTTAAAACATGTGCAAAACAGCGAATATGTGCAATTTTTGATCTTGGATTTTTAATTTTAAGGGTATTTATAAAGGTAGTGTTTGATGCGGCATTGTCGCATGTAATAGCCGTTGACTTTATATCTATGCTATAATTGTTAATGATTCTATAAAATGTCTTTATTATAATTGTATATGTTATGTGTTATATAAATTACCTTCTTCGTCCATCTCTCTCATAAAAGAAATTTCTAAAGTAATGGTCTATTATGAGATAAATTAAAATGGAGTTTCAAAATTGGGGTCAATTTTCATTATTCCAGGAGATTTTATTAAATTGAAATAATTTCAAATAATTCCTAATAATAATATATGATTTATATATGATTATTTTCCAATATATATTAATACTATAAATTATTTTAGTCGAATAATCTCGAATAATTCGATCGAATAATATATATAAAATTATTCGACGAATAATATATTTTCCTTATTCGAATTCGATTCGAATTTTCGAATCGAATAATTGTGTTATTCGTATTCGTAAAATACGAATCGAATCGAATAACAAATAATTCGTTTTAGGTATAATCTTAAACAATAATTTGATAGAAAGAATGTAAAAGTTGATATTTTTTAAAACTATTCATCATAATTTATACATTTTTGGAAAAAAGCATTTATATATAAAAAAAGTGAACTAAAAATATTTTTTAGAAATGGAATATAAGCCAAAGATAAATCTTAAGACAAAAGTGAAATGTATTATAATTATTAATATAAAATTACTAAATAATATAATATATCAAATCTAATTTTAAGTGAGTAATTTTAATTTATTTTCTTAATAAAAGTAAAATATAATTATAAAAATATTGGCAAAATTATATCATAAATTAATTTAAAATATTAAATCACAATACAAACAGTGGAATATTATATGTCGTAGATTTACAGTATATCCAATTTTATCAATTATCATATGACAATCAAGTAATTTTTACCACTATAGCGAATTATATATTTTACAGAAAACTATAAAATATTGATAAGGACATCAGGAAATATCTTTTAATGATATTGTGGAATGAATAATATGAAAATAATTTTTATATAAAATAAATAGATGGCGTTAAATAATTGAATACAAATTGTTGCTATATTTATCAAGAGCATTGATTAGTAAAATTTGTTAAAATATTAAATGTAATATACTAACTGACAAATATGTCTGTAAAAGTGGAATTTCACTTAATATTTTGTAACAAATTCTATATAATAGAGGAGTATCAACTAAATGTCAACTTACTTTTTATAAATAAATTACTTATACTTGTTTTTATCTAAATTATTACCATGCTTTTATATTAGTGTATATACAAGTAATATATATTGTATTTTATAAAAACTAATAAAAATATATTTCATATTTGTTCCAAGCTTATTTTTTTATTAAAATTAACCTCCTATTTGTAAAATTTTATGAATATATATATACTAAGGTAACCCGGCCGGGCAAAAGCGGGCCGAGGGCCCGCCTAAAAAAGGGTCTGGGGGCGAAGTCCCCAGTAATTTTTTAATCCCTCCCCCTTAAGAAAATGATGGCTACGCCTATGAACAAATTTAACTTATCACTCAATGTATATGTTAAGGTTGGCAGGGAGTTAGATAAGATTTAACAAAAAGATTTAAAACTTTTATTAAATAAATATATTTTAAAAATATTTAACTATAATTTAACTGAAAAATATAATAAATTTATTCTTTATATATAAATAAAATCTATTAAAAAATTTAAATGAAACTATTAAGTAAAGTTTATAAAAATTGTGTTAATTAAATAAATGCGACATATAAAAATTTGCGCTATATAACAACCAGTATAATAAAATAATTATCCATGTCTAACAGTATATAAATGCATTTTTTTCCTATCTAAATTACCTATTAACAACTATTTATCAAAACATAACCGAATCACTATAAATATTTTTTTTAAACTATATAATATAATAATCTATATTATTTTTCATTAACCTTAATTAATTAGTCTTAATTTTCCATTATTCTTACAAAAAACAATCTTAATACTAATAATATAACATTCTACATGATACTTCCTAACTTTAAATAAACGCGTCTACTTTTTTATCTTTTTTTCTAAATAATCATCTGCTTTTATTTTTCTTTTTCCTAACAAATACCAAACCTTAAATTATTTTTCTTCTCTAAACATACATTTAAATATTAAAAATTAATTATTTACTCTTACAACATTCCTGGCCTTTAAAAAAAAATCTATATTCTAAAAAAACCATACAAGAAAGAGATCTTAAAATTATAATGACACAAGAAACTTTAATTAATAATAACTTAAGAAGAAAAAAAATAAGTACTTACTCTTCATTTCAAGTTCTAATTAACCAATCTCTTTCTAAGTTAATCATCTTATTAATTTTTTACATCCTATATTTCTATTACCTTTACCATCATCGTATACACCTTCTATTTATACATACATATCTATAATAATACATTAATACTATATATAATATCAATTAGTGGATACTAGCTAATCTACAAGAGGTGCCGTATATACTCTTAAATTAAACGGGCCCTGAAAGTAGGGTAAATTATTGTCAATTAATGGATCCTAACTCCACAAGAGGTACCGTCAGTCCTCTTAAGTTAAATGGGCCCTGAGGGAAAATTTTACTGACAACAGTGAATGCAAATTTATTGCACTGGATACGCCCTCTTTTGGGTGGTAGAAGCCACTTAATTGTGTGTTTCCCTAGTGGTGAGGAACAAGATAAGATAAGACATAGCTCTTTTAATAACAGGTACACATAATATTAGTATTGTTAAACGGCTTGATTTTAGACGATTTTTAAAAAGAGCGAATTAAATATTCTAGTCAAAAAATATTGAATAACTGTAAGCCTCGAGATTTCGCTAATAGATGTTCAAACCTTTGTGTCATCTATGAGAAAAATCTTTAGGCTTGAGGAATATTATTTTGGATAAAATATTGAGCTATCCGTTTTAAAA